CCATCAACAAGATCACCGATCAGAGAGTTGGCCTGACCCAGGAAATCCTTCAGTCCGTCCGCTTCGTCAAGTTCTTTGGCTGGGAAAGCTCGTTTCTCAAGCGCCTGCAAGAGTTCCGTGATCGCGAGGTATCAGCTATTCAGGTGTTGCTGGCTCTTCGTAATGCGATCATGGCCATTAGTATTTCGCTTCCGATCTTCGCGTCCATGCTTGCCTTCATCACCTACTCTTTGACCAACCACGGGCTGGCGCCGGCCAAGGTCTTCTCGTCTCTTGCCCTTTTCAATGGTCTTAGAATGCCATTGAACATGCTTCCCCTGGTCATCGGTCAGGTGACGGATGCGTGGTCCTCTATCTCCCGTATCCAGGACTTTTTGCTTTCGGAGGAACGTGAGGATGAAGCTATCATCAAGCCCGATGCTCCTAATGCTATCGAAGTCCACGACGCCTCCTTCACCTGGGAAAGAACGCCAACTCAAGAGAACGAATCTACAGTGGGTGGGGCCGGTCCGAAATCGAAGCCTGAAAAGGGTGCCAAGGGAAAGCCCAAGGATGTCGAGGCGGCTACTCCTCCTTCCGGTGACGACTCGAGCACCTTGGTTGAAGAACAGGAACCGTTTAAGCTTCAGGATCTCAATTTTACCATTGGCAGGAACGAGTTGGTCGCCGTTATCGGTTCCGTCGGTAGTGGAAAAACTTCACTGCTCTCTGCCTTGGCTGGCGATATGCGCAAGACCAGCGGCGAGGTTGTTCTTGGCGCCCAAAGAGCTTTCTGCCCTCAGTACGCCTGGATTCAGAACGCGACTCTCAAGGACAACATTCTTTTTGGAAAGGAGATGGACCCTGAATGGTATCGCGATGTTATCAAGGCTTGCGCGTTGCAGCCGGATTTGGATATGCTTCCCAACAACGACTTGACCGAGATTGGTGAAAGAGGTATCACGATCTCTGGTGGCCAAAAGCAGAGACTCAACATTGCCCGTGCGATCTACTTTGATGCCGACATCGTTCTCATGGACGACCCCCTGAGTGCCGTTGATGCCCACGTGGGTCGCCATATCTTCGATAACGCTATTCTTGGTTTGCTCAAAGACAAGGCCCGTATTTTGGCGACTCATCAACTTTGGGTCCTCAACCGCTGCGACCGCATCATTTGGATGGACGGTGGTCGTATTCAAGCTGTGGATACTTTCGACAACCTCATGAGGGATTCCGAGGAGTTCAGACAGCTCCTAGAATCGACTGCCCAAGAAGAAAAGAAGGATGAAGCCGAAGCTCCTGCCGCAACCAGCGAGGAAGAAGCGCCCAAGAAGAAAAAGAAGGCCAAGGGTCTCATGCAGGCTGAGGAGCGTGCTGTGGCTAGCGTCCCATGGTCGGTTTATACGTCCTACGTCAAGGCCTCCGGCAGCTATCTCAACGCCCCCATTGTTCTCGTGCTCCTGGTTATCTCACAGGGATCCAACATCATGACTAGCTTGTGGCTTTCGTGGTGGACTTCTGACAAGTTTGGCCTGAGTTTGGGGCAATACATTGGTGCCTACGCTGGTCTCGGCGCGATGCAAGCTCTCCTCATGTTCGCATTCATGGTATCTCTATCGATGTTTGGTACTACGGCGAGTAAGAACATGTTGAGGCAGGCCACCTTCCGCGTGTTGCGCGCCCCCATGTCTTTCTTCGATACTACACCTCTCGGTCGCATCACCAACCGTTTCAGCCGTGATGTGGATGTCATGGACAACAACCTTACGGATGCTTTGCGCATGTACTTCTTCAGCATTGGAGCTATCATCTCGACGTTTGCTCTGATCATCGCATACTTCTACTACTTTGCCATCGCGCTCGTACCTCTCTTTACCTTGTTCCTCTTTGCTACTGGCTACTACCGCTCATCGGCCCGCGAGGTCAAACGCTTTGAGGCTGTCCTTCGTTCTACGGTGTTTGCCAAGTTCAACGAAGGTTTGTCTGGTGTTGCCTCCATCAGAGCCTATGGCCTCCAAAACCGGTTTGTGGAGGACATGAGGAAGGCAATCGACGATATGGACTCGGCGTACTTCCTGACTTATTCGAATCAGAGATGGCTATCGACCAGACTGGATATGATCGGTAACGCCTTGGTCTTCACCACGGGTATTCTCGTCGTCACCTCCCGTTTCTCAGTCAACCCCTCGATTGCCGGCTTGGTGTTGTCCTATATCTTGGCTATAGTGCAGATGATCCAGTTCACTGTCCGTCAGCTGGCTGAAGTCGAGAACGGCATGAACGCCGTCGAGCGTCTCTTGTATTATGGAACCCAGCTTGAGGAAGAGGCCCCATCCAAGACCATCGATGTCCGCCCCAGCTGGCCCGAGAAGGGTGAGATCATTTTTGACAACGTCGAAATGCGTTATCGTGCCGGTCTTCCTCTTGTCCTTCAGGGTCTTAATGTGCACATCCAGGGCGGCGAGCGTATTGGTATCGTCGGCCGGACTGGCGCAGGAAAGAGTTCTATTATGTCTACGCTCTTCCGTCTGGTTGAGATTTCCGGCGGTCATATCACCATCGATGGCATCGATATTTCCACGATTGGTCTCCAAGACCTGCGTTCCCGCTTGGCCATCATCCCTCAAGACCCGACCCTCTTCCGCGGTACCGTGCGCAGCAACCTCGATCCCTTCGGTGAGCATACCGACTTGGAGCTTTGGTCCGCCCTACGCCAAGCCGATCTCGTCCAAGATGATCAGGCCCCCACCACAACCGCCACCCCCAGCGCCAGCGGCAACGCCCTCGTTGTCGCCGAAGCTCCCGCTGCTTCCAACGGTAATTCCAACAACCGCATCAGTCTCGACTCGATCGTCGAAGAAGACGGTCTCAACTTCTCCCTCGGCCAGCGCCAGCTCATGGCCCTCGCCCGCGCCCTCGTGCGCGGCTCCCAAATTATCGTCTGCGACGAGGCCACTTCCAGCGTTGACATGGAGACGGACGACAAGATTCAGCGCACCATGGCCAGCGCGTTCCGCGGCAAGACGCTGCTGTGCATCGCGCATCGGTTGAGGACTATCATCAACTACGACCGGATTTGCGTGATGGATAAAGGACGTATTGCGGAGATTGGCACGCCCATGGAGCTGTTTGAGATGGAGGGAGGTATCTTTAGGGGAATGTGTGAGAGGAGTGGGATTAGAGCGGAGGATATCAGGTTGGCGAGGGAAATTGTGGATAATGATCGGGCTCTATAAAGTGTGTGCAAGTAAAAGGGGTGGTTGGTCAAAAAGAAAAGATGGGGGGTCTTTCTGTAGGGTGGATGAGATGAGAGATGATGAGTATGACAGATGAGATGATGGTTGGTTCTGATTGATGGCGGTTTATGATACCAAAACTCGAAGAGAAGATGGAGACGGATGGGGAGGAATGGAATGAAGAAAGGCAAAGCGATACTAAAAGCAAATGCCCTATAGAAGAAAAACAAGTACATACATAGTCTAAACACGTAATTACTTATGGTAGTAAGAAGTGGATCTCGGGATTTCGAGAATGTTCATCTTACATGCTTTGGGTACCTATAAGGATCAATATCGATCTCTTTGTTTATAAGAATTCAGCAAAGCACATACAGATACAGCACTACTCCCTTTTCCATTCCCTTGTAAGTTGCTTTGCATGCCTAGTAAATCCAACCTCCTCTTGATGTCTTGCTTGCCGCACTGCAAGATAAAAGCCTACGTAACACATGGGGCACATAATGACACTCTACCCATCCATTTTCAAGTCTCACAAAGTCAAGTTGTGAAACTCTAAGTAGTGCCTAGACTTCGAGAGACCTACCTACAGTACCTAAACTCGACAAACTTTTAGTTGGCTGGGACGCACTCTTGGTGGTCTCTTGGTGTCACAACCCATCTACACTGCCTACCTATGCCGAGAACGAAGCAGCCAGACTCACACAACCTCTGGTAATGTGATTTCAGCAAGTCAAGTCATTCTTTCAGCCTCGGTCATGTCGTAAGCTCAACCTCAGCATTTTTTTTTTCTTTTTCTTTGATCATGCCAGTCCCCAATTGACTGGCACATATATCTCCTGCATGTATATATGTTAAACAAAAAAAGTATGCAAACAGCAAACAGGAAAACGACCCATGGAAGGGGGGAGGGACGCTTAACTTGAGATACACATGTAAAACGAATCAGTCAGTGGGCCGGAGAGCTGCATAATCTTGCAGTGTCTTGCATTTTTCTGGTGGTAGGTGATCAAAGACACATCAAAGACACAAACACAAACAGAGGAAGAACAGACGGGACTGGAATGAAACAAACCGAAACGTACACTATTCAGTGACAGATCGATATTATGGCATGACATGTGGTGGAGAATCGACGGGGCAGAAGGAGCAATTATGGTAGTACACCAACCAAGGGGAGGACTATAAAGGCTGTCTGTTGGCGAGGACCATATCAAGGCAACAGCAGGCAGGCAGGCAAGAACGAAATGCAGGAGACGTGATATTATCTCAACTACCTAATAGGTATTTCCAGCAATCCCAGGATATGCAAGTCATTATCGCTATGCCTACCTATGCTACTGCAGTGCTCACTTATGCAATGCACGACGAGTTAACAGACAGGAAGCCACATGTACAGACAACAGTAAGTAAAACGCTGTTAGACCCTTTCAATCCGAAAGAAAATGTTCGCGAAAATCACAATGAACAAAAAGTGGTATTCGACGATACATATGCACTTTAAGGCCGAAGTGAATAAAAGAGGTAAGTTAAGGTAAGTGTAGTGATGATGGTGATGGTGATGGCGATGGTCATGATAATGATAATAATGATAATGATTAGTACTCTCAAACCCCAAACTATAACAAGACCCGAACCAATGAACTCCTCTGATCAATTGAATGCCTCCCCAAATGTTGAAGGAAATTTAGTTTTTGTATTAGGTGCACAGCGCTATCACCGCGCGATATCGGGCTCGGGGCTGTTTTGACGCGATGTCCCTGGAGTTCTCCAACGTAATTGCCTCCCATGGTCTTCTGGTTGTTCCAAATCCCAACCAACTTAATACCTCCCACTGTGCCTAGGATCATGATGACCCCCGTGATAGCCCGGGTTATTGTATCCCCCCGGAGGAGGGAACGCCTGCGGGTTATCGCCCAGCAAATCATCCAAGAACGCGCTCGGTGCGCGCCCACTCTCTGGTCTGTTCAACTGGTTGACCGAGCTACTGCTAAAACCTCTGGACGGTGACGTCCTCGTCGTCGTACCCATTACCGGTCCAACATTCGGCGACTCGGGCGGCGTCTGTCCCATCATGCTACCACCACTAGGCCGTCTTGACATCGGGCGGAGGTTCGACATGCTGATCGAGTTACCGTGACTGTGACCCATAGGAGCAGCGGCCGAAGAAGCGTAGAATCCGGAGGGAAGGAAGGTCGAGTGGCGGTTGTTGGCCATGGTGCTGTTGCGGTCTCCCGGTTGCGCAGTCGGCGAGAAGAACAGCTGGCTTTGGCTGGGGGTACCGGCGGCGGGCGCCGGGCCGCGCGACTTGCGGTTGCTGGCGAGGCCGGTGTTGCTACCGCCGACGAGCGAGGGGTTCGAGTTGAGATCTGAATACTTGTAGAACTTGGGCGGGGACGGGAAGCCCTTGTCGTCGCCGAGGTTCTGGGCCATAGCAGCGCGCTCGACGGAACGGTGGAGGAGACAGGCAATGACGGTTCGCCAGATGACAATAGCCAGACCAAAGGCGCCGAGGATGGCGCCGACGCAGATGAAGACGGTGCCGTCGGGGAGCGACGAGTGTTTCATGAAGGGCGCATTTTGTGTAGGAGGAACGGTCGGCGCGGGATAATCCGGGATACCAATTTTGGTGAGAGTTGGAAGACCGGTTAGGAGTGTAGGTGGTCCCGTCGCTGCATCTGTGTTCCCAATCGTCAATGGGGGGACAGTCTCAGTTCCGGTCGAAGTAGGCGAGGTTTCGGATGCCGTAGGAGTGATGGTCACTTTTGATGTGCTAGCCGAGCTAGGAGAGATAGATGTCGACGACGATGGTTGTTGCGCCAATACACCAGTCGATAGCAGGGAAGAGGCAAAGAGGGCTGAAAGAAGCAAGGAGCGCTTCAGCGACAGTGATGGCGACAACATGGTGGTCGCTATGGCTATGTCCCGTCGGGGTCGGGGACGTCTAAAGAAGGGGTTTGACCAAGAGGACCGAGAAACGGGAATTGGTCCCTATATCCACCAAGGTATGATGCAGAGTAAGCTAGATCGACGACGGGCTGCAGCCACGATCCGGAGCTATCGATGTGAGGGTGGTGAGTGGCCGAAAATCGGGAACTCGTGGTTACTCAAGAGCGTCGTGCCGTGATAAATCTTGAGAAGAAAAAAAACGACAGTAGAATCAGGCACTTGCTGAGAGCATCAGAGTCTGGTCTGAGTGGATGAATGAGATTCACTGTCAACGAGTGTTGCAAACTTGACCAAATCAGGTCATGGCCGTCTTTGAGGGGAGATTGACCAAGAGATGCATGGATGGAGTCAACGGGGTCCAGAGAGTGAAAAGGTTGAATGAGTGGTGGCAGGGAAAAGGAGAGGGAAGAAGTTGGAAGGCGCCCACGGGGACCAATTGACTGAGACCCCTTCTTGCCCGCCCGCCTTTGTGTTGGTCCCCGATTTCTCCATTCCTTACCTAGACTAGTTCGGCGCTGCTCCCCCAGACTAACCTGACCCAAGGGAACCACTCAGGTGACCACTCACACACACTCAGCCACTCCCTGCCAGGGCAGTCGTGATTCTGGGAAACATTTGCGCCGCGGCGTCCTCAGCTCAGGGCAACGTAACGTCAACTCTCAGCCCTTAGTGCTCAGCTTCGTACACTCTGGTAATCCGTCGTGAAAAACGGCTGGGCTTTGGGACCTGCACGGGCGGTATGCTGGGACATGATTCGACACGCATGGATAATGTCTGGCATGGCATCCTTCGAGGGCGAAGAGCCAGGCCTTCATTCCATCGTATAAAATGCTGGCTGCAGAAACGGCCCTTGCAGCACGTCATTCAAGTCAGTGTGTAAGTAGCGCCTGCAAGAAGGGTTTTGCTAAGACAAGTGAAGACACTACTATTTCAAACCCTGGTTTTGCCCTCTGACTGAAAGGCCGATCCGAGTTCCCCCTCATCTGAACAAAATCGTACACTAATCCTTGAAAAAGAAAAGTAAAGATGTCTCTGCTGCTTCCACTTGAGGCTCAATGTTTCACAGCTGCACGGTTGACGACATGACGTCCGGCCCTTCCTTTCTTGGGTCAAAACATGCAGCAGTCGCGCCGTGTGCTTGGTCGCTATCTGCACAGTGCTCATCTGTCCAGAGCAGTCCCTCCAGCGGCGGCTGCAGTGACCTCAACGCCTGAAGCCCAATACTATGTACAATTTTAGCGCCCTGCTGACCAGCACGCCGGAGCACTGCAGTGGGAGAGTAGCTTCCCGCTACCCAAGCTGCCATCTGTGGCCAGCTGCTGATATGGCCTGTGCTTTTCCTGTTTTGCGGTGCTCAGACTCGGTTGCCACTTGTCTGTAGCTCCAAGTTGGCTGCTTGGCAAACCACCGAATCACACTGCAAGTGTACCTGTCGGATGGTTGCTCTCAGTGTGGTCCAAATTTTTATACGAACCATCAATCGCCTTCACCACCAAATCAACTATCACGACTTGCGGCCGCCCGAATTTCCGACGAGCCGCCAATTTATCTTGACTGCCAAATCTAGCACAACAGCGGTCGATACCCCTACTTCACATCAGAACTTTTCCACTTCGATCAATCGTTGAGATCTCGTCAAGATGGGTGTTGCTAAACGGACAAGAAAATTCGCTACGGCACGTGACTTCCTTAATCCCCCTTCTCATCTCACTTTTCACACTCACCACCATCGATTGACCTCAACCCCCTTGGGGTGATGGCCAATATGTGTGTGTATGATGAAAATGACAATGTATGATACATATTGTTATAAAAACATACTTATTAACACACTCAATAGGTCAAGCGCATGATCGGCAAGAACGATGAGCGCCGCAAGACCGAGGTCCAGAAGAAGCAAGAGTTGGAGTTGCAAAAGAAGAAGGAGGCCGCCGTCCGAGAGATCCCCCAGATGCCTTCGTCCATGTTCTTCCAGCACAACGAGGCCCTTGTGCCTCCCTACAACGTCCTCGTCGATACCAACTTCCTCTCCCGAACCGTCGGCGCCAAGCTCCCCCTCATGGAGTCCGCCATGGACTGCCTCTTTGCTTCGGTCAACATCATCATCACATCATGCGTCATGGCCGAGTTGGAGAAGCTCGGTCCCAAGTACCGCGTTGCCCTGATGATTGCCCGTGACGAGCGGTGGACCCGTCTCACTTGCGACCACAAGGGAACGTACGCCGATGACTGCATTGTCGAGCGTATCCAGAAGCACAGGATATACATCGTTGCTAGTATGTGTTCCTTCTCTTTCTGCTTTTCTCCACTTACCCGGTCCCACCACTTGTCGAGCGTGTGTATGTATGTAAGTATGTATGCTAACTTTGGAAAACACAGCCAACGATAGAGACTTGAAGAGGAGAATCCGCAAGGTCCCTGGTGTGCCCATCATGTCTTGCGGCAAGGGCAAGTACGCCATCGAGAGACTCCCTGGTGCTCCTGCCTCGTAAGGTGGTGGTTGACCGACTAGGGGTAGGCATCGAAACTGCGCAGCTGCCACCACAACGCTTTGTCATGTACCAACAGTGTGTTCAAGTGCGGGACTACAAGCGTCAAGAGGGAAACTAATCACGGCACCCACACGACGCCGTATAGTACTTATCAATACGTGAGGGAAAGCAGCGTCTCTGGCACATGCCATTTGTCAAATGCAGGCCATTGATGGTCAGTCAGTATTTACAGCAGCCTAGAGTTGGCTGCGGGAAGGGACGATAACAGGATGTTCTCTGTTGGTTCGGCTGATATGCGAACTGTCAAGTCAAGCAACACCCCATCTACCGGGCGACCGTTGTATCGGCCGAGACGGATGGAGATCTCGGGTTAGAGCGGAGAGCATAAAACAGCGGACAGAAGGAAAGAAAGAAGGAAGAAGGGTTACCGGCAAAAAACTGAAGGGATACCATACCACATCGCATTCTGGGTTATAGAGGTTTCACACACATAGGGTTTTACATTCTCGTTCGGCGTTAAATAATGAGTTGATTTGATTTGATTTGATCTCAAAACATATCAGTTTGATCCGTGACTTGCAAATCGTCACCGCTTACTTACTCCTCGCCTGCTCTTCGCGATTCAACGTGATCTATCCTTTTATAATACTTCTACCACAAACACATGACAATTTTTAGAGCAACGGCATGTGTAAGAAACTTCCCATCCCCATATTCCACCGCTAAACTGTGATCGTGCGGTAATTCCCGCGACGACTGGTGCAGTCGTCGTCAGTCGCAGTGAGAGGAGGGAATCGCGACAACGGAACGCAGGTCGCACCACATCTCACTCCATGAACACTACGCAAACTGGGTCACAGAACCGAAATAAATTAACCCAGTAGTGGTGTCAGTCGCTAGAGAAAAGATAGAACCAAGCTTTTGCAATGTCTTCAAGATGCAAAAGGAAAAGACGAATACATTGGAGAGAGGGGGGGAAAAGAAAGAAAAAGGGAAGGAAAAGAGGAAAGGTTCAACGGCCCATGACGGGGGTCAAACCCGTCCAGTTAAAATACCGCCTACGAAACCCACGATTTTCTGATTCCACGCGCCTACCAAGTCTGCTACCGGAAATTGTTGGAATGTCTGACCTGCGGGTTTATATGGCCCAAGGTAATCGATCAATTAATGTCCGAAGCTGCTGCCGGGTAGCAAGAGATCCAGACTTCAAGCACAGAGCAAGATCATGAGTGGTTGTGCTGCAATGACATAGGTGAGGTCCGATTCTATTCTCTCAAACATCAAAGTGTGTGTATTGAGGTAGATTGTTCCCGCCAACCGACAGTCGAATACGTATAAAGTATGACGACCGTAAGGACGGACATATGCAGACCCGTGTAGCGTACACTATCGTCGTAGTAATTCCAACCAAAGCCGTCTTAACAGTTAGACAGCTCGTTTGTTCCATTCCCTCACTCTCTGATACGCCATTGACCTTAAACCTGACATGGCCCCTGGATTAACCTCCATGACGATGTCCCTTGCGCGCCACACGCCGCTTACACAATGCGATAACCACACCCATTTACCATGTCTTTTGCGCGTATGTGTGTGGTGACAAGACATTCCTTGCCGATGATCCTTAAATTGAGAAAAAAAGATGATATCACAGACCCCAATGAACAAGTCCCCGGTGCCGACTCCAGCTTTTGAGAACACTCTTTTTGCCTTTTCACCCCCGAGAAAAAGGAAGAAAATTTTGATAACAGTAAGAAGATGGGTATTGTTGTTTCCATTTGCTCCCCTTGATGCTCTGTCATGCTCCCCTTCTTACCAACAGTCGATTGCGTGGATGTGGATGGATGATTGCTACGCGAGCCATTCCTCATCAGCCCGCTTGTTCCCTCGCATCACCAATCCCTCGTCATCCGAATCGGAGTCTTCCTCTTCGCTCTCGGAATCAACTCCACCATTTACGATATGCCCATTGATCCCATTGTGACCGTTTTGATGTCCGTTTTGGTGCTGGTAATGCTCCTCCTGTTGGTGGTGATTATTATGATTATTACCGATATTATTGCTGCCGCCTCCGTCATACTCCTCGATCATCCATGTGAGGCCGTTGGCTTGCTCCTCTAGCGGGAACACTTCGCGGGCGTACTCCTCCAGTCCTCTTGGACCTTCCCACAGCTCCAGAGCCGCCCGAGGGCAGCTTCTTTCAAGCTCAATGTCGCCAAAGTATGGTGGTTGTTTCTCGGGATCCTCGTTGTGCAGGTTAAAGAGCTCCTCGAGCGCCTCCAGCTGGATTCGATAGCCCTCGGGAATCTTGACCTTGACCTCGATCGGTCCGCGGACGTACCGTACCGGTCGGCCGACACCCCGGGAAAAGACCTCGCATGCTTCTAGAGGTGTGAGCATCTCGTATGCTAGTGCGATGCGCTTGCCTCCACCCCACTTCTTGACGCCGTCCTTGAAAATCTGCAGAATAGCCGGGCCAACGTCGTGCTCAGCATCAAGCCACGGGAGCTTGGCGTTTGGATGGAAGGGTGCTTGCCAGATCCACGATCCGTCCGGCTGCAAATCGGTGCAAAAGAGGGGGTATGGCAGCGAGGTGAAGTTATTGTTATAGATGCCAGTGTAGACAAAGGTTGCCGGAATACCAATCTCCTTCACATAGTCCTCCACACGGTGCTTCGACGCCCAGAGCGGTAGTGATGGCCAGTCCTTGTTGTAGGCATGGTGGTCGGGCATCGAGGAGTAGACGTAATGTTGGACTCCGGCCTTCTTAGCAGCGTCTGCCAGGGCCATGCCAATCCTTTCCTCGTCGCCATAGAAGGTGGTGTTGATAAAGGCAAGCTGAGCGCCTCTGAAGAGTTCGGAGATGAGGGCGTCGTTCACGCCGATGCCGGAAATGGGTCCATTCTTGGTGACGTCGACACATTGTCCCTTATCACTTTCCGCAGGGGTCTCTTTGGTGTAAAGCTCACCCTGCAGAACGGTAACGTTGGGATTCGTCGACACTTCGGTGGCCACAACACCCTCGAGATTCCTCATTTGGGCTCGTACGTGGAAGCCAACGGCAGTGGCTACTCTGATGAAAGAAGCAGCCTGTCGGCCGGCGGCGTTGATGACCGCAATCGTCTTATCGGGGGTCGGCATGGGGCGTTTGGCAGGACGCCAAGTCAGAGAGTTGTTTCGCGACATGAGAGGGGACATCTCTGAGTAGGAGGAGCGAGAGTGTTTGTGCCGCCTCTCTTCATTGTGCATGGCGTTGGGGATTTTGATGTCTCTCGGTGCTGGCCTCAATGGTAGCTCTGATAGAATTTCGGCCGGCATGGTGGGCTAGTGTGATGGACGGGTGTCACCGTCCTCCCAAAGATTCCCTGACTGTCTCAAACTTTTTCTACGAGGAAGAGAGCCCGGCTAGAGATGCTGTGTCTCCCCAGAAAACAGGAGTCCTTTCCGAACAGATGTTGGCGCAAAGACGCTCTTGCCTGTTGCTTAATGCGCTTAATGAATTTCCTGTTGCGACCACCACTGTAGGTTCCCGTTGCGACCCTTTAAGTTCTCGGAAGCAGAGCAGCAGGGGAGAGTGATGATGATGGGCCGTTAGAAGGAAAAAAAAAAAAAAAAAAAAAAAAAAAAAAAAGTTGAGCCAAGCACGAGACCGGGCGATCGTGGTTCTGAAAGCGCAAGGGCGGCGCAGGCGATACCGGTGAGTAAAAATGCGACCGAGGACAGGAAACTGCCCAGAAAGTGCAGGGCAGCGGTTCGATTGGGTTGCTCTTGGTCTGCTGATGTGCTTGCTGGCGGAACAGTGGCCCCGTGTACCGCGGATGGAATGGCGGTATCGTGCTGCTGCGTCGATGGCGTATTCTCTTTTCTTTCTTGCCCCGTCGTTTATCTATCAGCGGGGTTCCAATGGCGGCGGTGTTAGAGATGTACTGCGTGCTGTAGGTACTGCGTGCTGCACTGAGTGCTGGTTGTCACTGCGGGGGCAATTGGACGGATAGTAGGTCGGGTGGGTGAGAAACCGCAGGCGGCCAGGCAGAACGGGGAATTGGTGGGAAAGGCGACAGGGCAGGGGAGGTGAGGGCTCAGTGAGAGCCAACTGGACGGCAGCAAGCAAGATAATGTAAGTACATTTATCTTTATGTACAAGTTCCTCGTACCTGTGTTGTAGTGTCTGAAAACGATGTCGTCTGCTGCGTTGCCAACTCAGGGGCGGGACCCGGAATTCTAAGATCAAATCGACAAAAGATGCCTGTGGGCGAGATCTTACAGATACCTATGGGCAGCCGATAAGATAAGGTAGGGAACTCGGGAAAGGCCGACCAACAAAGCGAAAAGAAAAAAACTCAGATCTCGGAAGTACCCAGCAGCAGGATGTTGACAGCAGCGGGCAAGAGGGATTGAAATCGAAACAAGAACGAGAGAAGCGCGAGCGTATGGACGGACTGCGGTTTAATAGCAAGGAGGTCCCCTGGCTGCTACTAAGTACCATAGAGGATGAGAGCGAAGGGCTCAACAAGCACCAAACAAAGGGAAGCAAATAGAAAACGATTCTGGCCAATCGCATGGCGAGCAGCTATCCACTGGGTGAACCATCCAAGTTCTAGGAAGCCCGCGAGGTGCGCGCAATGGTCCGGGCATGGTGCCCTCTGGTCATGGCTTCCTCTCGTCTTCTCTCTGGCTCCCGTTGTCTGGGTCCCGTCTTCAAGGTGGGTGTCAGTGGTCCCGCTCGCTGCTTCTCAGCGGCTCCAGGGCAGGCGGACACCAGACGGAGGACAGGGACAAGAATTTGCGATTTTACGGGGTTGATGGAGCCAGAAATGCAGTCCACCGCGAGTCCACACCCGGGGTCCCGTCCCCGTCCCCGACACCGGGTTCCACTCTGGACCATGCCCTGGTCGGCTGGTCCTGCTCGTCGACGACGTGTGGTGGCCCATCTCCTTTTCGAGGACGACAAGCAAACAACTAAGCAAGCACATGCACGCTTTTCTTTTTCTCTCTCTTCTTCTTTCCGTCTTTTCTTTTTTTCCGGCATTCACGGGGAAACGGTTATCCGTCCAATTGGCCTCATCGACAACTAGCATATCGTGGGGAAAATGACATTGGCAACGGACGCAAGGCCCAGGACCCAGACGGGATCATGTTCCCCAGTCTTGAGGCTGCCCACTATCGCCCTATGTACCCCGGGTAATTGGATACCGGTACCTGAAGTAGCAGTCCCGGTATGACTGGGTCTTGGTATCTAGATAAAGGTGCAGCTAAGGAGGGCCACGAGGTCCATGAATCCAGGTTACGGGCGGGCGATCCATGACTTGGAACACCGAGGCAAGATTGCTCAGATGAGGGGGTAAAACCCATCTTGTTGGCAACAAGTGTCGTCTGTGCAATGCGAGCTGTAATGGAACAACAGGAACAGACGATGCGGGGAATGATAAGCAATAGATAACCACCCGCATCACGATGTCTTTCAGTCGAGGATATTTGTACTTGTACGACCGCAGCGGGCAGACGGGACAAAAGAGTTGGATCGTGGTGGTTGCACGGCTTTCTACTAGTAATCTCACAGAGCGGTCAGCCAGCTGTCCAAGGTTCATTATGGCTCAGCCTGAAGGAGGTTCCGTATGATACCAAGCTATCTCTGCCTTTGCCCGGTCGATGCGGATGATGACATGATGCCCATAATGCCATGGCCTTTGCCCGGCCGACAACATGTGGACAGTAGTATGAAACCCAAACGGGCAAGAGGTGAGGTGTGGTCCAGTCTTCTCGATGAATCAGATAAACAGGATAAGCTAGATCATTTGCTCAGCATAGCATGAGCCGCCGAGTGATAAGGAAAATCCATGGCATTGGCAGGCAGGACAGGTACACTAGTTCTAAGGGTTTAAATTGTCGATCAACAAGTGTTTATCATGACAGCATCTCGTTGTTTCTTGGGCCTGCATACATAGGCCTAGACTCCTCACAGGTCATGTGCCTCTGTCTTTGATCCTGGCGTGAGCTTCTTGCCTTGCCAGTTTCCGGTGTCAGGTGGTTTCCTAGTACCCTCGCTTTGTTGGACTTCAGTTCCATTTGTTTCCTTCGGAACAATCACCTAATACCGGATCCTTTTTGCTCCTCCCCTATGTGCGCATGGAAAGCTGGCCCAAGACTGGCGCCGAAAAACTTTCCGATGACGTTTGGATGCTGTGTGGACGGCAGGCGGCTCCGGCCCTTCTCATGCAGCTAAGAGGTTGCTCTTACCTTATACCTTCCCCATCCAGTCCCCAAATCCCATTCTCTTTAGTCAAGTTTCTTGGCAACTCCCACACTCTTGCCGCTCAGCTGCCCGTGCGGAAGACGTCTGGCGAGATTACTCGGTCAAGCTTTCAGCGCTCAGCGATCATCAAACCGCAGTTTACATCTGAAGCCTCGACTCTTTGGCGATACCTCCCGTCATTGCGCATAGCATTATGGCCTGGAGTCCGTTCCAATACGACTTGTCACCTATCTGGAATATTCTCTGCCGGTGACTGACGCAATGGAGGGTGGTTCAATATCTACCGGCGTCTCTGTATAACACACTGATACCACCTTCTCGGAGGGTCGTCGTCCACGGATGGATTCCTCCACGAGGCTCATCAAAAAGGCTCGCAGAAAGGACGCTGGTACGTGTGTAGAGCTGGATGCCTGGTTGGTCTCAAGCGGGCGGCGGATCCCTCTTTTCTCTTACGTACAAACCGGCTCACTAACACCCTTTCGGAGCAGTCCCATGGCACTTGAGTTACCCTCCCACAGGCGTCCTTGTCGTCCACCACCGTCGAAATTGGCAACGTTGGATCGGCATTGGCTCCCGATTTCGCTGCCTCGTTTCCCGTGCGAACACCATTTCCGCGGATGTCGCCTATGCAAGGAACCAAAGTTCTCGGCTGACCTTTTTTATTTGTGTCCAGAAAATTGTCAAGAACCTTGCCCCCGGATTCTGTTTGGCTCTTCGCTGAAACCATACAACACGACGATATTTTGACACTACCGGGAGCCTTGCCGACCGACAGCAACGCTGGCACGTGAAGCGGCGAAGCCCATAGCCGTAACGCACCTCGGGGGGGAGGGGCTTTTTCAGCGCACCGCAGTGCCCTACGAGCCTACGAAACAGGAAGTTTGACAGGTCCCGTTTCTTCCCCGCAATTTCTGTCCCACTGGCGCTCCTGCTGGCGGGTCAAAAGAGCGGGGAAAGAAGGAAAGGAGTTCTGTTTGGTTGCCGTGGCGGTCAAGAAGAAGAAACAAGCAGCGGCGGCGGCACCATGCCGGCGTCAACCCATCCCGCTGGCGTTTCCATTAGCAGCAGCGCATGCGGCACGAAAGCACAGGAACATGGCGACATTGGACCTCGCTCCACTGCCGGGTTCCACTGTATGACTTCTAGAACCATAAATCCGACCTAGTTGTTCGCTCGAGCAGTGTCACGCGGCCCGTTGGAAAATTTGTTCTGATGTGAAAATTTTCACACCATACGTCCTACCTGCAATGCAAGGTGGCCTTGTGGCCTTGGGCAGTCTGGGAGTACGGATTCGTGGAGCGGAGGTGAGTTCGGTGTCCCGGTCAGGAGAAATCTTACCCGTCCACCCCTGGAAGTGCCAGGCCGGTCAGTACCAGTGCGAACGGAAGTATGGGCCCACGGGGGCTTCATCCACTTCATCTACTTCGGATGAGGGAAGAAAACGCCTCCAAAGGGGAAACCTGTTATGCCAGAGAGGCCGTCATGCGTGAAAAAAATGAAGTCCTGATCATGCAAAGGTGATGATTAAATAACATGTAGCATCTCGCTTGTTGTATGCTCTACTTCGGATGAGGGGTCTAAAACTCCAAAGGCAACCGCACGATATCGAAGTTGAAAACCACCATTACGAGAAACCGATGATGAGGAAAATGGCGATGACAGGCGGGGACGCAGATGGGCCTGGGTTTCCTGTTGACAATGTCGATCAGCCTTGTTGGCCGGTACCGCTACCCAGGAAATTATTGATAAACTGCCTGCCGCCCGGTCGAGATAGCACTCCTCGCCAAAGGCTTCTCTCTATCTGTTCGTAATCTCAAAACTTAAAAGGCCTGACGGCTTTGCGCACAGTTATGGGCAAGTTTTGGTCATGAGGAAATTTTATGTGCCATCCATGACGTCTTCAAATTAAGATGAGATGAACTGTGGCCGAGTGCTGATCCTGAGTCTCCATAGTAGTTAGACTATGATAAATCGATAATACTAAGCCGAATGAAGTACAATCTACGGTGACGACATGGCGAAGACAACGCCAGCCGTCTAATGGTATTTTCGCAATCTCATCTTGAACGTATCAAAAAAGCTATGCTAGAAGTTTCAAAGACTCTAAGCTGGTCTCAGAGCTGTGTTCAACCTCTGTCCAACACTAAACACAGTCTGGTTATCGACAAAGACCCAGACTGACGATCGTAACTGCATCTCTCTTGTCCAGCAACAACACTCCATCATGAGAGCATCATGGCACGAGCAATGCTGTCAAGTATTACGATATGTTATTTTGGAGAATCCAATATTCCTTTCGTTAAACTAGTTACCTCAGTCTCATTCACAAACAAACCAATACTGAAATCACCCATTCCAATGATATCGTGATCTAGTCACACTCGTTCACCCATTCTGCTCTGTTCTCAGGAGAAGAAAAGATTAAAGTGGCAACATGCCGGACTTTAACGGCGTTTTTCCTGGAAAGATAGCAAATATAAGTTGATGAAACTGGAATGAACCGAATCGTCATTTGTTCATGAAACCATGCATCTTCGTCCAGGTTGTCGTCTTGTCGTCCCGTCTCGCGGCGCAGTGGCGTGGTGATGGACTGGCTACTTTGGCCGAAAGAAAATGAGGAATACAGTCAACCGAGGTATGACCAGTTGCCATCGTGAGAAGGGGGGGATAGACTACTTGGTGGCATGAAGTGTAGAGCAGGAGATAGACGTGCTGAGGAACGCCGAGGGAGTGTACACATGGGTGTCAGGTATCGTAATGTTTGCGCGACGGTGGCTCAGGGGTTACTACGTAGACAACAGGGGCACGGACATGAGCACTTTATTAGAGATGTATAGTGAAAAGAGAAGTGAAGAGAGAAGTGAAGAGAGAAGTGAAGATAAAGCATTGTTGCAGAAGTCTCTGGAAGCGCGCGGGTAAACTATACTAAAGCAGAACACAGATATAATAAAACCGACCTGTGTCTTCTCTACGAAAGTATATGACAATCACCTGAGGGCAAGGACTCACCAGCGAATGTGCAAACAGAGGCGACGAACATTTCCAAAAGAGGGTATCTTTGTAGTCATGTTTTGACTACGTTACCGTAGATGGTGAATATAGGTATGGATATGTCTTGATCTAACCCAAACTCCGGTCCAGCGTAGACGCCGCTTGTGCCGAGAAGCCCTATCTCTACTCTATATTCTACCCATGCTTTCCAAAACTCTCGTATTGCAAATACCCTTGGTGAAGGGGACAGTTCGTAAAGCAACAATGCTTAGAACTTGCCCTTAAGCAAGTTGCTGATCATCTCGCGGCCGGTGATGACGGAGGTGCGCCAGAGGGTAGGAAAATCGAGCGTGCTGCTGAGGGTGTCGGCATAACCGAAGAACAGCATGGGAGGGATCCAGCCGCGCGCATACTCGAGCGCGAAGCAGCTCTCGGGCATCTTGTACTGCTTGACGGTGCCGCGGACGAGGTGGTGAACGGAACCGGGAGGGTAGACCTCAGGCTCGTATTCGCCGGGGACGTAGGCAGTCTGAGTGCCGGTGAGGATGTGGAAGTAGTCGTCGGCGGTGTGGCGGCCGGTGTGACCCTCGGTACCGATGGCAGTGCCTGTTGTGTGGAGTGTGTTGTTAGTGATGGGTCCAAAGAAGCGGGAAGCACAAGCTTGCGAAAAGCGTGTTGGAAGACGGGGCTTACCGAAGATAATCAGGTACTCGGTGATGGAGGCGTGGATGATGTACATAGCACCCATGGCACCACCAGCGTTGTTGAACACCCACTCCTCATCGTTGTTGACGTAGGGCGCAACGCCGTTGCGGTCGTTCAGCTCGTCGACAATGTACTTGACAATAGCCTTGGTGTCGTTGCCGTGGGCGCTGATGGCGCGCTTGGACAGATCGTGAAGGTGCTCAGTATCGAAGACGTAGAAGGACTCGAGACGCTGCTCCAAGACGTAGGCGATAGGCGCAACTAGGGCGAACAAGATGGCGAAGAACTTGAGCCAGCCACCGATACTGCAGCGGCAGCGGCAGCTGCAGCGGCAAGACGAACCGGAGGAAGAGCCGGAGCTAGAGCCAGAGCCGGACGGCTTGTTGCCGCCGGAGGAGGACTGCTTCTTGGGAGGCATTGTGACGCTTTGCGATTGACGAGACGGCACAATGTCGAGGAGGAGAAACAGGGGAGAGAGAAGACGGGAATCTTGAATTATAAAGAAACAAAACAATGGCCACAGAGTTTCCACCGCCGACAGGGGGGTCCGTCAGCCCAACCTCAACAAACCTACCCACGGCAACCCCTGATTTCCTTGTGGAGGACCCTTGTGGTTGCAACATGCCCGCCCAGGCCGGTGTTGCGACTTCCGACACGTTCGATTTTGAGAGCTTTGACCAATGGGGACGCTCAATTGCGCGGATAGCGTTAAACCGATTTCTTGAAGGAGCCACCGCTACGACCAATTGGAGGCAGACACACCGGCAGGCTGGAGTGCATCCACAAGCTCCCCCTCGCCGGCAGCTCAAGCTGCCCGGCAGCACTGTCGGTGCAAAGCAGCGCGGCACTAGGTAACAACGCTCTTGGCACCGACAGGGGTTTCTATTTTTTTCGGTGCCCCTCCGTCATTGAGTCCCGTCCGCGGGCCCGGTCAATCACATTTCAATATTCGAATGGACATCTACCTCCACGTACCAGAAGCTCCAATCTCAGTTGTTATCGCCGCGGGGTCCGTTCTGTCGTATCGTTATCTCTCATTTGTTTAGTTTCCCTTTGCGCGTCGCACCGCGTCTCATACTACCATACCACTTTTACCCATTCGCAAACTTTCGTCATCGATATCTCCATCGACCTAGAACGACCGACACAATGGCGAGCACATCCTCTTCCCCGTCGATGGCCATCCCCGGCCAATTCCTTGGCCCTATCTCCAAGTTCCAACCCGGTCCTGGAACCCATATCCACGAGTCGAACCTCTACTCTTCGCTGCTCGGCGTCGTCAACATCACACAGCCCGCCAAGGCGCCCGGCCCTGCTAAGCGCTTGAACAAGATCATCAACACCCAGACCACGCCCGCCGAGCTACCGACCATCTCGGTACTGCGTTCAGCGGGTTCGTCAGACAAGCGCGAGGTGCTTCCTGAAGTGGGCAACATCGTGCTATGCCGGGTGATTCGCATCATGCCGCGCCAAGCGGTTGTGGCCATTCTGATTTGCGGCGATACTGTTTTGGAGGCCGAGTGGCAGGGCCTGATTAGAGTGCAGGACGTGAGAGCAACAGAGAAGGACAGGGTAAAGATTTACGATAGCTTCAGGCCGGGAGATATTGTCAGAGCCGAGGTGGTAAGTGCTCTTCTCCTCTCTTTCTTCCAGACATGGACTGAACACTTTCGCTAACGTGCTGCCACCCCACTAGATTTCTCTCGGTGACCAAGCCAGCTACTACCTGTCGACAGCGCGTAACGAGCTCGGTGTCATTATGGCGACAAGCGAGGCCGGTAACACCATGTACCCCGTCAACTGGAAGGAATACAAGGACCCTGAGACCGGGCTAAGCGAACCCAGAAAGGTTGCGAAGCCCTACTGAAGTCGGCGGATGGAGTTTCGAAATGAGACATGAAAAGGATGCTTGAAAAGCAATGCATAGCGCAGTTACTAGCTTGAGGTGCAGCGTGTTATCAAGGTGATACGGGCGTTAATCTGCTCGGAGCGCTCGCCGAGTAGTGGAAGCAGGTGCTCTATCGGCACCCGGTTGGGGGCTTGCAAATGCGGCGGCACGTCGACCGTCGAGCTCTCACGGTCCGCCGGGCCATCAACACGGTCGGCCACTCGCATCACAAGCAAGCATCCCAGCGACAGATCCAAGCCAAGAGATGTCTTGGCCCCAGAGTTTCTGGCGGATACTCCAGGTACGCCAAGTTAGACCGTGCAGAACATGGTCTTGGGTGATAGGGCTCGCACTCAGAGAAGTATGGAGATGGGTCATGTCACGATTCACTCTTGACACAGCGGAACAACACAGTCATGATACAGCGCCTGTTTCAGGGATAACGAAGATGATGGCGAGTTATGATCTTGTCACGTCGAGGAAAGATATAGTGACGCCAGACACGGCTACGCCTGTCATTGCATTCAGAAACTGGATACCCGTTCAAAAATCTGTATAGAAGATACCTTGCGAACAGCCTCCTTCATACGGACCTTACTATTCCCTTGCCCATCTGTTGTCCGTGCCGTCATCCGCCGCCTGGGCCAAACGTTAATGAGTGCTGTTTCTTTAAGGCGGCTCAAGGGCGGCTTGGCGTCTCGTATACCCCCCACATGGGCCTTGCATCGTGCATGCGGTACCTACATACCGCTGAAGATCATCGGAACGGCGGGGGGGCGTAGAACGGGGGAGGGCGGTAGAGTCCCGTACGTCACCGAAACCCTGCGTGCCTTGACACATTTCCACCCATTTCTTGTCCTCCCTTTCACAGCTTGATCATTCTTCAAAAAGGAGGAGGCAGAGTGAGAGCTCTGGCGGCGTGTTAGTTAGCGACCTCACTCAGCGCCCCCCAGATACACAAAACAAAGTCTAAGACGAAAACAACAAGCTCCCTGCCCCTGTTTCAACGGGAACCAGGCCATCCCCACCGCAACGGCGTCTCCATCTAGTTTTCTTGTTCCTGACAGGAGTCCACTTCGTTCCCGAAAAGAAAATATTCGAGATCAGACGAACCGCTTCAATCCATCATCTTTGATTTTTGTCCAATCCGACAAGACGCGCGAACTCTCCCTGTCGATATCATCTGTCCTAACGGGGCCCTGGTGAGCCATGTCAACCACCGCCACCATGACGATGACCGCCGCCCCCGTCATCGTCGAACCGGTCACCCAAACGTTATCTACCGCTCCGTGCTGCCCACAATGCGGTATCGATCTCGAGGGGACCCAACCCTTCTTGGAGATGCAGGCGGCCGTTCTCGATGCCCACAACAAGATCCAAGAACTTCAAAGCCAAGTGCGCCTGCTCAACGAAAAGGCTTCATCCGCCGTCGATCGCTGGGCCGATTACGAAGACGAGATAGCCCAACTACGAGGGCAACTCAAACAGCAGCAGCAACAACAACAATCCCAGTCCTCCCCAGTTGCGTCCCAAATATCATCACCGCAACAACAACAACAACACGCCGATGCAGCCCTCGCCACCCCTCCCCAATCCGCAACCCCCTCCACCACCGCAACAGCCAACGCCTCCCCCGCCGCCCCTCGCAGCGTCAGCTCCGTCTCCTCCTTCCTGCCCACCGGCGCCGCCTCCCGTCTCTCCGCCTTTTTGACCTCGCGCAAATCAACGCCCAACCTCAAATCCGCCCAGTCTTCTACCGGTCCTGTTCCTCATATGCCAACGCACCAATCCACCCTCTCGCAATCGTTCACTCTAAGCAGCCCCCTCCAACAACCGTTCCAGTCCACCTCCCCGTCCCTTCAGCAACAAAAAGAGATCTCCGACCTCCAGGCAGCCCTATCCCAAGAAAAATCCCTCCACACGGAAACCCGCGCCAAGCTAGCCAAAGCCGAAGCGAAACTAACCGCCACGTCGCGCGAGATCGAGGAGTTATCGGTGACCCTGTTCTCGGAAGCCAACGAGATGGTCGCGTCGGAAAGAAGGGCGAGAGCGAAGCTGGAGGAGCGGGTGAAGACGCTGGAGAAGAGAGACGAACAGAAAAAGGAGAGGCTGGAAATGCTGGAGGGGGCGGTGAGAAGGATGGAGAGGGTGAGGGATGTGTTGAAGGAGACTTCGCAGGTAATGGAACGGGGAACACATGGGAGTGAAGAGGGAGAAGAGGATAGTGATTACGAGGGGAGGTTACCGGTGGCGGTGGTGAGGAGGCAGAATTCCAGGCTGGATCTGGATGATTGACGGAAAGGAAAAAATAGTAATATCTAACGGTAACCTCCGACGAGATACAGGGAAGAGGTTGGTAATTCTAATATAATTTAATGACGGGGATCAGTGGGTATGTAACTTACTTAGTCTAGATCTTGGTTTTGGGCTAGCATCTGGCGGGGGAAAAAAGGGACACCAGGGGCAGGCAGGCAGGCATCATGATGAAATTGCATGGTCGGCGGGCTTGGTTCTTTGGATATAGACGGACTCGGGAAGGAGCACACATGGCAACAGCATTTGCTGGCTGGATAGCACCCTAAGAGGCATGATAACATTGACCTCGGAATAATCATATCTGCATTAATTTGGGTATAATTTGCTTTATTTTGTTTTCGCTTGCTTTGACAATAATGACTTCTCTCATGCCTTCGCCTCATCCTTTACAGAAGCGGATTCTTCTACTTTGACCTCACCTGCGGGCTGCTCCGGTGTTGGTGTCGGCGTAGGCTGCTTCTCGATCTTGGCGTCTTCGGCCTTGATCTCCTCGGCCTTAACCTCCTCAGTCTTGACTTCCTCCTTCTTGACTACCGGCTCGACAGCCTGGGCCTTGCCCGCCTTGTCCTTGTTATTCCACAGGTCCAAAGCCTTCTGGATCTTGGGTGCCCAGACTTCCTCACCCAGGGCAAGGTCGGAGTACTCCATGCAGTTATCAGTGCCCAGGACAAACTCGCCTTGCCTAGATCTAACCAGTTCAGCCATCATAGCGCCGCACCCAAGCTTTTCCCCCAAGTCGTGGCACAGACTGCGGACGTAGAAGCCCGAAGTCACGGTCATGCGGATCTTGGCAGCCGGAGGACCCTTGCCCTCCCAGGGGAACGGGGTATCGGGCGACGGCGGAGGAGGAGCAAGATCCATACCCCTGTTCTTGGCGTACTTGTCCTGCTTCTTGTCCTTGCCCTTCTTATCTTTCAGAGCGCCCGACATCATGGGCTCAGCAGCGCCGGTCTCCGTCTTTCTCTTCTTGCCCGCGGGCTCCTCGGAAACCAGCTCATCGACCCGTTCCTCGGCCGCGCGCTTGTTGCTCTCGTGGTTCGCCAACGCCTTGACCTCCTTCTCCACTACCTCCGGTATTAACGTTGCGGCCTCCTCTGTGCTGGTCGTGCCGTCCTGCTGGTTCTTGGCCACCTGCCACACCGACTTGACCACGTTTTTCTCGGCCTGCTCGGCCTCCTCCGTCGGCCACCGGTGGTTGTGCGTGCCGGGTTCGTACCACTCGGTCAGCTCGAGTTCCGTCACGTCGACCTCGCGGGTCTCGATCTCGCGGGGGATCGGCTTGCCCTCGCGCGCGTATTCGTATAGCGGCTTGCCGTTCATCTTGAGCGCCGAGTAGAGAGGAGGCATCTGCTGAAACTTGCCGCGGAAGGAGTTGAGCGCCTCCTCGACCTGCTCGCGCGTGATGTTGCTGTAGTCGCCCTTCTTGATGAGCTTGCCAACGCGGTCGTAGGTGTCGGTGCTGGCGCCAAAGACCACGACGGTTTCGTAGGTCTTGGTGCAGCCCAGGAAGTCGTGCAGGGCCTTGGTGCCCTTGCCAACGCCGAGGATCAGAACGCCGGTGGCCAATGGGTCGAGGGTACCGCCGTGGCCGATCTTGACGTTGATGTCCCGCTTGGCATGGGTGCGGCGTTGCTTTTGGTATTTGCCCTCCTTCTCACGGAGGGCGCGGTCGGCAGCTAGGAGGGGCGCGAAGAGCTTGGACGGGTTGAAGTGGTGTTGACAGTCGCGGATGACCTGGGCTGAGCTCATGCCATAGGGCTTGTTGATGGCTGATGTTGAGTTCAAATTAAGTCAGTTTTGTGTCTTCATGATGCGCCTCTCTGGACATCGGCTTCTACAGAATGCGCGCCGAAGACTGAAGGCGTAGGTAGTGATGACATACCGAAGACGCCCTCGGCGAGGCTATTCTGTGCCATCTTGATAATTGACCTCCAGATCATCTACAGTCTCTGGGGGTTGGATGTAAGAGGAACGGAGGGAGGTTCGCGACGGGAATACACAACACAGCCTCTGGACTTCCGATGTGCAAGAACGGGTTTCCAATTGGAGTCTCCATGCGCAGGAAGCTCTCCCTCGAAAATTCCTACACTAGACTCGGACCTGACACTGCAGGGGACCGGTCACTTATTTTAGGGCTTATCGCCCCTTATCAGCAGCGGATGCGGAGCCGGTATACAGGGGTTAAAGTGCCTGGGCCCCCACACTGACGAACGATTTGGCAATCCGACCGTCGAGGTCGCGGATGTTGCTTGCTTGTTGCTTCCGTTGGTGGAACAAGTCGCGTCCATTGGCTGTTGCTCCAGGGCCTGTCTTTTAGTGAGAGAAGTATCGCGTTACATGCCACTCCCCCCTCGAGATAATACCCTTGTTCTGACTGTTTTCCTCCACTTCCTTTGTTTTTTTTCTGATATCTACATTGTAAAATACTTCCATCTTCTCCCCTTGTCTCAGAAACGAACCCACTTTGATAAGTGTCGACTCGACCGTTTATGAGGGTCTAGAGGCTGTCACCAGTGTTAACAGTTCGAAATCAAAATCCAGGCAAGTTAGCTTCCCGCCAGAGTTCCATGAAACTCGATATCTACAATCATATCACTGCCGAGCTGCTTTCGTGGGGTGAAACGACAACATGGCCGGACCAGGACGCCCACGGCGCAGAAGAGGCTCCAGCGCATCCATCGACTCGACCGACGATAGGCGCCGGCGATGGACAAGAGAGTCGGCGATCCTCAAGCCGGTCACCCCAGGCACGTCGGATGACCTGTGGCCATATTTTGCCGTGTTGACGGATGCCACCATTTACCAAAAGGACGGAAAGACGCTGGCAAACCCGCTACATGTCGATCTCGAGGGGCCATTTATCGTACGCGGAAAACTCGAACCGGTGGAAGACGGTGACGACGAAGCTCGCGAATGCTGTAGGTTGACTTGTTGACGCCCATTCCCCTCGGGAAGTTTCCCCGCTCAGATGCTAACAACCACCAAGTCCACAAGCCTTACAACAAAGCGACGTATATCGAAATCTCTAGATCGGAACGATACTCGATCGGATATGACCCAAACACCCTTTGGGTTTCTGGCGCATCGGGATGGTTCGAAATCATTCCCTCGAGGAAATACGAAACCATGTACAACGAGGTGATGGAGGCAATCACCCTATACTATGGAATCATGGGTCCGTACGAGGAGCACAAGAGGCTGCTAAAGAAGGCCGACAAGAAGAAGCGCAAGGATGTAAAGCCACCATCTTTGGACGAAATCTTCTTTTCATACGCGCTGACGGCAGGAGATGGAGCTGTCACGGTGAAAGAAGAAGTTGAGGCCCGATGTCTGAAGTGGGCACAGTTTCTGTTAGCTCATTTCCCCAAGGAATCCGAGATCAGATGGCAGGACACCGGGTTTGCCGCTTGGCTGCAATCAGCCCGCCCAGACCTTCAAAAGAAGATCAGCGACGTCGCTGCTGGATTGCTCACCAAACCAGCTGCTGAGCCGGAAGGTTTACTCGCGCGGGACGATCACTCGCCTCAATCCCAAAGCTTAGCGATCCGTGAACCACCGAAAGGCAGGACGACCAGGACCAGTCGACAGGCTAGTGAGCTGTCAGACCAACGCTCAGACAAAGGGAAGGGTATAGCCAGAGACAGCCCTGTGGAAATTCCGATCCCAGCCCCAGTGTCACACCGACACCTATCTTCAAGTTCCCCTCGCCCTCGGGCGTCGCCCGCCGTCATTACTGGTAGTGACGACCTTCCCGATGACCCAGTCGATAGGCTCATCGCTCTGTTGGGAGAAGTTGCCCAACGTATTGACATCAAGACGGTGAAAATGTCAAAAATCAACTCGGACTTATTCTACAACTGCAGGATCAAATACTACAATGCCGCCAGGGAGCTATGCGAGCACTTTGCAAAGGATCTTCTTGAGCGACTACCACCAATGTGGGACAACACACCATATAAGGCTTGGCTCGAGGACGTTGTTGAGAATGGACGCCCTGCTCCAGTGGAATTCGTGGTGGAGGATATTCCTCAATATTTAACTCGTCGGACCCGGCGGCAAACACATATAAGTCGCTTGTCAAGCGCTCTCGGGCCTACCCCTAGTGTTGAAGCCGAGTCAAAGGATGAAGTCCGGGCTGGAAAGCAACCTCGGGTAGGCCGTCCATCCGGCAAGGTGGCAACCCTGCGTGTGGCAGGCTCCAAGCGACTCGCATCCGATATGATTGATGAAGACGACATGCCGCCCAGGCGCGGACGAAAAGCCCTAAAACGAACAGTCAGGGTGGAGGAAGACGAGGAAAGTGACGCAAACAGCGTCGTCATTGATATAGCTGATGACACGGGCGTCATACCGAAAGATGCAGTCCGAATAGTAGTCCAAGCCGAACGCCTCCCGACCATGTCACCGGCCGGTCCTAACGGGACCTGGACGTGCGATCAGGAAGGGTGCAACTACGTGGTCCGGTCGGCGGACGAGCCCGAGGGCCAGGATCTCATCTCGAAGCACTTCAAGGACCACGAGGAGCAGGCGCAGAAGATCAACTTGGCCATGGAGGAAAGTAAGGCCGGACATTTGCCTATCAAGTATGACTTTACTTTATTGTCTCACCCTCCACGTTAATTGTCGTCAATGACCAGTTATTCTAACTAGGCAGTCACAGTCATCTCCTCGATAAAATCCAGGCGATGGGGAAGAATGCCCTGGCTAAGAAACGGGGTTCGCTGAACGGGGAACCGCTGCCACTCCCGATCAAACGTCGGTTGTTGATTTAAGTCGACAAAATCGACTGGTCTTCCTGCATGATTGCTCTCGCGGCCTCCATGAACCGATCTCGCTATGCGGGGAGCAATCGCCTCGGACTTACAATGGCGGCTCGGAAAGGTCACCACTGGTAGTTGATTGATACCAACTGTACCACATACAATGTACTTGGCTTTGGGTGGCGGCCAAGCTTTAATGGGGTTTGGGATATCTGCGAATTAAGGTGTTTTGGAGTTCATGGAGATTCAGGTTATACGGAGGCTTGATTCGCTGTTGCCAGGTAGAGCATCTTTATCGAGCCAAAAGGGAGTATGGCTACAATAAGTGCTGATTAATCTCTCAAATTGCTTTGTGCTTGGGCAGGTCTACCTGCTGGCTGGCTGTGTACATATACTCACGAAGGGTTCAAGCGTTGCTCTCAAGAGCTCAACGACGGCGAAGACTACCGGTGTTGTTTGGACCAGCGTGGATCATCTCGGGAAGCGTTCCTGTTTCCACTTCATCCCCAAGCATCCATTCATCTTCCTCTACTCGACAATTGGTATAATTGCTCCTGTTTATTCGCTAGCTAAGAAAAAATCGAATCGCTTGCCGACCAGTAAACCAGTAAAGCCAACGCTACGCTTTGCCCAGCCTGTCTTCCTGTATACACCTGTTCCACCTCCTCCCTCCTCAACTCTCCTCTTCTCTATCGCATCCTAGGGTTACTAGGCAACCCCATCCTCCCTCCTCCTGGCGGCAGTCTAGGTCCACTCGGCAATCCCACATTTCCATGTCCCCCATCATAGCCCCCTCCCCCCCTCCTCCTACGGACCCTGCCCTCTGCTGGGAAGCAGCAGCAGGCGGCGCAAACGGCCCAGTCCCACTCGAGTTTCCAGGACTAGTTGTCCTCGACCCGCCCCAAAGCCTCTGCTTCAATTTGTCCTGCGCACTAATCCCACTGCTCCCACTGTGCTGCGCAGGCATTGACGCCACGCTGCTAGCTGCTCCGCCTCCTGCTGCGGAGCCGTAGGGCCCCGATTGTTGATGGCCGTACCCCCCATTGCTGCTGGTGCTGCCGGCTCTTAGACTCTGCGGCGGCGCCCCTCCTCCTCCTTGATGCTGTCCTCCTGCTTGATACCCACCACCATGGCCGGGGGCGGCGTTGACAGGTGACGAAGCAGCTGAGGAAGCGGCGCCGCGGGCGAAAGGGTTTCGACTTTGCGCCGCACTTCCTTGTTGCGCTCCTGCTCCTCCTCCTCCTCCTCCTCCTCCCCGGCCGCCACCGTTGTTATTGTCCCATAGACTGCTTAACTGTTGTTGACCCTGACCGCCATAACCGTTATATCTCTGTTGTTGTCCTTGCTGCTGCTGTTGTTGTTGTTGGACAGGAGGAGGAGCCTTGGGGTCGGGAGGTAGCCAGGAAGGAAAGTGTTGACCCTTTTCGATATAGTAGGCGCGCAGGACGCGGCAGACGTGGGTGTCGTCTTCGGTGTCGCCGTCGGCTTCGCCCGAGAAGTAGGTGCGTTGGAGCTTGGTGATGTTGTTGGAGAGGTTGGAGTACCAGGAGGACATCTTGGTTGTTGTTGTTGTTGTTGCCTTTGTTGGTCGGGATGTTGTTTGTTGTTTCGGATTTCCTATTGTGTAACGGGTGTTCTTGTGGATGGGTTACGTTCGGTTGGTGTAATTAGATATCTGATGTCTAGGTTTATCGTGTGCTGTTGGAAAGTCAAAGCGAGGTAGGTTTGGTTCTGTCGGTGACGAGGTGCTACGACCAGCAAGCACCCCTTGATCGGATCGCGAGATCGGGCGGTGGGAAGCTTCCTTCAGGTGGTTGTTGCGGGTAAGGGTATTTTGCAGTTAGCCGCGGTGTGTCGGTCAGGCACAAACTTCGTGTTGTTTGATTGGGAATTGAAGGTTTGTTCGTGTCCCGCGATATAGAAAGGAAACAAAAAGTTGCCAAAGTTCCTTGTTTTCGTGGCCTTCTTTGAATGTGGAAGGTAAATTGATGGATTGGTTGATCGCCAGGAGAGATGCGAAAGGCGGCGTGGGTTCCAAGGGGCGTTTCATCACTGCGCGACCGTTACCTCCTGTCCTGAAGAGCCACTGCCCCACCTATAAATCACATACCAACCTTGACTTTACAGGGCCGCATGGCGAGCCTGTGACCCGCAGGGGGGGTAGAGGTAGTCCAGTGGTAATGCATGCACTTTTGCTCCTCGCATATCACAACCGCAAAGTAGCTGGAGGTAGTTCTCCAGATTGAACAGACTTAAACATGAAAAGAGCTCTTATTCTACGAGCCATGCAATCATTACATGACAGAATGTCAAGACCGGTGACCAATCTGCCAGATGCCAAGGTATCATCATCTAGTACATCAACAACAACCACGATAACAAATCTCCCACGTCCCTCTTTTAGAAAGCAAGCAACTTCTCCCTGTCCGTCTCGTGCTCCACCTCGATCTCCTTCTTTTTCCGTGCCTTCATCTTGGTGACCTTTCCTCTCTTCCTCTTATCGCCAGCCTTTGTCTTCTTCTTGGTATCCTCCTCGCTGTCGCCCTCATCGTCGTCATCGTCATCCTCGTCGTCGTCATCCTCCGCATCGTCCTCGTCGTCGCTGCCGAGCCAGTCCTCGATATCGTTGAGCTCGTCGTCGGTCTCTTCAAAGTCGGACACGTACTCGACATTGCCGTCCTCGATCTCCTCCTCGAGCTCTTCCTCTTCTTCTTCCTCCTCATCCTCGTCCTCGATGCCCTCATCCAGGTCCTTGTCGCGGGTACCCTCGCCCTCCTTCTCGAGACCCTGCAGCACCTTCTTCCAGACAGACTCGGAGCAGTTGAGGGGCTGGTCGCCGTACATTCCTTGCCTGAGACGTTCCAGCAGCTCTCTCTCGATCGTCCTCTCCAGCTTGGCGGCAATGAGGGCCTTGCGCTCTCTGGCCTCTTCGCGGTGCTTGACCTTGGGCGCCATCTTGGGCACCAGCTTCTCGCCGAGACGGTCCTCCTCGGCGGCGAGTTTGCGCATGCGGGTCGCGACTTGTACGAGACGGGTGAGGCGCTGCTTGCACTTGTGGAGGAGGAATTTGGGGAAGTATTGGAGGCGGTCCTCTATTTGCTGGAGGGCTTCGGCGTAGTTTTGCGACAACTTGATCTTCTCCCACCATTTGGAGGGCATGTGGGCTCTCTCAATCTGTAAGAAAGGGGAAGGGTGTGTCAGCTAGCTGGTCCCGGGGATCTGGTAGGTTCGCCACAAGGAGCGGATACGCACGGTCTTGATGTAAAGGTATATTGTGCCCTTGGGCGAGGTTCTGACGGTCGCATAACGGCTGTTGGCTAGGGGGCAGCTCTGCCTGTTGCAGAAGCCGCTGACGTTGTACTCATTTCTGCAAAAGTTGTTGCCCTTGGTCGTCTTGAGTTTGAAAGCACAGAACTGCTCTGTAGGGTCGAAGGTTAGCGACACTGCGGGGCAGGCAGGCCTTTTAACTTTCGAGAGACTGCGACATACGGTTGATGATCTGCCAGACGATTTCGTCAGACATGTTGACTGTAGTCGATCTAGCCGCCTTCTAATTGTCGGGGTATCTTCGAATTGGCGTTGTGGTGAAAAAGAAAGGTCAACTTCTCGAAGAAGGGAGCAAGAGCAGGTCGTGTGTACGAGGAGATGGAGAAGACACAGGCGTGGCTGCGGTTGCCCGATAAAAATTTAGAAATGGATCTTTCTGAACTTTTGATGCGGTTGATGTGGTCCGTGCAATCGCTGGACATCCCAGCAGCTTTGGGGTTACAGCCAATCATCTTACAGCGATACCTTGAGAGTGGCTGCTCAAAGGTCTTGGCACTCGCTCGTGTTGCAGGGGCGGCTGTTTATTCAAGCTGCCATCGAAGGTTCACCAACCAGGGCAGGGCATCTCTTTCTCAGTGACATCTCTCCGCTGAAGACATCACTTGTGTGAATTCATGTCTTTTGGTTGAGGTCAATGTTCCGCCATGCGCTAAGACGAGCTGCTATCCACCGACCGGGAGGCTCCCGAGTCACTTCTTGTGCACTACGATCACGGCAGCAGCAGCCAACAACATGTCTTACCCGCATAGCAAGAAGCTACCATGAGTTTGGCCGTAGGGCGTCTGCCTTTGACACCGTCTCTGGGGGTAAGGGTCAAGGCGGGAATCCTAGAGACTCAACTCTGCCCTTTCTTACCAACGACACCATCTATGCCCTCTCGTCAGGGTCAGGAAGAGCTGGCATAGCCGTAATCCGTATTTCTGGACCCGGATGTCTTGATGTAAACAACCCCTCCCACACCAAACATTATCACTCGCTCTTGACATAACTAACACCAAGCAAAGGTCTACAACTCACTATGTCCCACCAAACTCATTCCCAAACCCAGATACGCCGCCGTGCGCACCCTGACCGAGCCCACCGGACCCGGTAAGGATGCCTCATCACCATCAGCAGCTAACGCCAACAACGTCCTCGACACCGACGCTCTGGTCCTGTACTTTCCCGGTCCCAAGACCGTCACAGGCGAGGACGTCCTCGAGCTGCACGTGCACGGCGGCCCAGCCACCGTCAAGGCCGTTCTCTCCGCCATTCCCAAGTCCACTTCATCGAGTACCATCCGCTACGCCGAGCAAGGCGAGTTCACCAAGCGCGCCTTTCTCAACAACCGACTAGACCTCGCCCAAGTCGAAGCGCTCGGCGACACACTCTCCGCGGAAACCGAGCAGCAGCGACGGGCCGCCATCCGCGGCACCTCGGGAGTGTTGGGCAAGACGTACGAGTCCTGGCGTGAGCAGCTACTCCTGGCCAGGGGCGAGATCGAAGCCCTGATCGACTTTAGCGAAGACCAGCACTTTGACGAGTCGCCTACCGAGCTGCTGAGGAACGTGACCCGTCTCGTCAAAGAGATTTTGCATTCCATCAAGCTGCACGAGCTGGGCAGCCAGCGGAGTGAATTGCTTCGCAACGGCATCCGCATCGCCCTGCTTGGTCCGCCCAACGTGGGAAAGAGCAGCTTGATGAACTTGATCGTTGGAAGGGAGGCAAGTATCGTGTCTTCCGAGGCGGGAACGACCAGAGATATCATCGAAGCTAGTTTGGATATTCGTGGGTATTTGTGTTCGTTTGCCGACACGGCGGGGATTCGCACCCGCTCGTCGCTTTTGCCTGCTGAAGAGAAGGAGGCGCCCATCGGCAAGATTGAAGAGGAAGGTATCCGTCGAGCAAGACAAAAGGCTCTTGACTCCGATGTCATTATCGTTCTGGCTTCTGTCGAACCCCATTCCAACGGAATCGAAGGCTACCGCCTAAACTACGATCTATCAACCCTCGACCTCGCCTCATCCGCACCAGAATCTCTCCTGGTGATCAACAAATCCGAGACCGTCCCTCCCTCCGTCCTGGCTCAATTAATTCAGTCCTTCAAAAACGACGTCCTCTCCACCGCTCTCCCTGAAGACTCTCCCCTCAGATCTCAAGATCCGATTCTGATCTCCTGCCGAACCGCCGAGCAACGCTCCGGGGGCGTTGACGACCCAGACCCAGGCAAAATCCATCACCTAATCTCCCGCCTATCCTCTTCCTTCGCTGAGCTAACCGCCATCCCACAAGACATGGAGCACTTGCTGGGCGTCACGGCGAGGCAGAATGAGTTGCTTGGGCAATGTAGAGATGCGCTGGAGGATTTTATGGCTGAGGCGAACCCGAACCCGCTTATTGTCGAAGGGGTTCCTACAGAAGAGGAAGTGGAAGCGGATATTGTGCTGGCAGCGGAACACTTGAGGGTGGCGGCGGGGAGGTTGGCTGCCATCACGGGGAAGGGAGAGGCGGGGGATGTGGAGGAGGTGTTGGGGGTTATTTTTGAAAAGTTTTGTGTTGGAAAGTAGGCTGACGGTGGGAGTTGAGTAGAACGGATGGTGGTGAGATCAGGACAGCGCATGACTGAGTTGTCAGTTGGATCAAAATGAAGAATAATATATGCTGAAGTCTATTCATCTCTATAGCGTTTTTGTCCTCCCTCTCTATGACTGCCATTATATCCTTCAAGCTGTTTGCATGAGTCCACGAGGACTGTAAAGTCTGATCTATGACAGGTTAAAGAAGATGAAGGGAAAAAGGACTTGGAAAAGCTGAAGTAAAACTGAGGGAAGAAGAATCGCACCCCATGAATATGTGAAAACCACTTTGCATCATCAGGATCGCATCCAGCCGCCACTACCCAAGTATAAAATTCCCGCCAAACAGAAAACCCCTTGAAACTCCCCAACCCATGCTTTGCCATAAAAAGTAGCCACCCTTTCCGCCTTTCTTCCACATTTCCAGAAGAAAGATACCCCAATCAATTGATTCCACCCAAAACTCCAATAAACTCCCAAACATGCAATTCGAAAGTACCGTTGCCGGTATTGCTCTTGTACAAGTATCAAAACAGATGGTGCGAATGTGTGAAGAAGACTCAGAAGTGTTCAGATTTACTTCTGTTCCTCATCATCGCCATCATCGCCCCTGGAGAATGAGTCTTGGTTAGTCATCGTCCATCTCAGAATCAAGTTGTGATTGTAACTTGGGCACTCACTTGTTGTAGCCAGAGCGGCCAAAGTTGCGGAACTTGTTCTCCTCGTCGTCATCACCGTCCTTGTTGTAGCCGGAACGACCAAAGTTGATGAGGTTCTTGTCTTTCTCCTCATCGTCGCCGTCCTTGTTGTAGCCAGAGCGGCCGTAGGCGACGGGGCAGCGGGTAGTGGAGGATCCCATGACAGCCATTGTAGTAGATTATCTTGTGTGTGTGTGTGTGTGTGTGTGTGTGGTGAGAGTGGGTTATGTTGTAGATAGATGAAATAAGGGTGAGAGTAAAGAGTGTCTATATATTAGCTTGAAGCTTTGAAAGGTTGGAAGCTGGTATGGTGATGATATATGTCTTGAAGGCCAATGTTGGTGATTGATGCTGAAGCTGATGTTGAGAAGAAACAACCTCATAATTTGGGCACATCCAAGGTCTTAAGTAGGGCAATAGGAAACACCGAAAAACAGGCAACTGCATTTTGGCTCGAGGCCAGCTTGAGGCCATTCCCGGAGTAAGCCATCTCGGCTAGGAAGCACCTTGGGGGTGCTGGGCCCCCAAGCGCCGCAGCGGTCCGCGGTGTCTACGCATGACATAAGGAAACGGATCTGAGGTCCGTCATCAAGCATGCCTACGCCCGGTGTATGGAGGTTGACTGGTGCGTTTCTGAGCAAGACCGTGTTGTATCGTCAATCTTGTGGTACGGGGTTAGTAGTCACAGCCCCCCCCCCCCCCCCCCCCCCCCCCCCCCGAAGGTGTCTAGGAAATAGAACCTCGTAGTTTAGGCTTCCATGTGTCAGGGGTACAAGCGAAGGCACCCAGATTTGATCCAGGAGAAAGGCTCTAAGCGAAGTAGATCCGCTCTTGCAAGTATGTACCTAAGTAGTCCCACAAGGCTGTTCAGGGCCTCGTCAAAGTGTCGTCTCTTTTGGCCTGTGTTCACCGGATGTTGTACAAATTCGGTCAGAGTATCGCTAATAGTAGATACGAACCGAGAAGAACCCCCCTAGCCAAGGCTTCAAGGCTTCCATTTGGGGTTGTCAGAGCTGAAGGGCAGGCGGCCGCGATGTAACGGGAAGACTGAATGACGCTACAGTAACTGTAGGGCTGAGTCCACGATACACAAGTGCTGGGAGGATTTTGATAGGCCCCTGAGACGCCGAGTCCAGCGAATTGAGCGATGTGACTCGGTAGACATTGATGTTGTCCACTCCACCAGACCGCGCCGTCGGGTAACGTCCACACATCGCTCGGTTCTTTCCATGTTGCTTACAACGCAGTCGAGCATCAGACTTCTTTGTTAGGAACGGTGGCTATGTGGATGCATTTGGCGGCTTCCAACCAAGTCGTCACGCCGAAATGTGTGGGTGCAACAGTCATCGTTCAAACATGGGTGCCGTACAAAGCCGCTCTTTGCCTGTCAGCGGCATGGACTATTGATGTGTATGTACCTGGACCCTGAGATTGGGGTGTTATTCGGCGGTACTTTTGTTTGAAGATAGCATCAATGGCATTGGCAGGATTTCGGTTCGAGCTCTCAATGGTCCGGAGAAGACGATGCTTCCCCATCAACTGCCAATTGGGGATTATGCAAGTGCCGGATTCCCAGATAGGACTTATTCCACTTGAATGGCCTAAAGTCCGAACCTCAACGGCTGCTCTTCAGAAGCATGTTGAAAAGGGTGATTGGATCCCAGTTGCGTGGATGGATGAGACGTTAGAACAAGCCTTCCGCTGCTTCCGTCTGCTTCTTTTGTGCCTCTGCTTTGCAGTTCTCTGCCACCTCCTTCTCATCACCAACTTGCCACCTGCCGGTTGAAGAAAGAAGGCACTTGGCACCACGCACACCGAGTCACTGAGTAGCAACTCGAATACCCTTGGCTAGTAGACGGCTGACCGAGGATAATTCTCGTGTATGTACTGTATGTACCTTGTATGTATGTTGATGACGAGATTGCGGCACTCGAGTGGCCTCTGCCGCTGGGGAACTGACCGCGGCGGCGCATTCGGCAGGTGTTGCCGGTTGCTTACGGCGTACAAACTTACTAGAAGAGTTCAAATTGTTCGGTGTTTCGTTGAAAAGAAATCTGAAGCCGCCTGACAGGAGCCGCCGCCGGCGTTTGTGGGGGTCACCAAAGGTAGGTACCTAACGGCACCCGACGGACTTCAACCCCCGGCCCGTCCCCCGGTGCGGGGCACTACATACTGTACCTACGTCAACATGAACTCCGTTTCCCTCTCCGTGCCTCCGGCATCCCCGGAGTATATCAATACATGAGTTGACTCAATGTGGTCAACTAATGCGCCTGTGCGTGGTAGGCTTCCATTTCGCCCTCAAAATAGGTGTTAAAGCCAGCACCGAGTCAGAGATGGACATCACTGCCGAGCACTGCCCCCTTTCCAATTGCAACCTTCCACTTCCGTTTGGCGCCTGCACTACCAATTTTCGTTCCAGTCTTTGCTTAGTAGGAGAACAACTTTCACTCCCGCAACAACATATCAACCCTGTATCTCGGACTTTGCTAGACTGCAGTGATCTCATTCCACCCTGACCATCTACATTCGGGGTAGCACAAGCCAAAGTGGCATTCTCGGAAGAGATGAGGTGCATTCCCAGGCTACACAGCATTTAACAAAAACCGAGCTCGGTGTGGGGGTCTCTTTGAGGTTCGAATAGGCGTGGGTTGAATAATCCAACACATGACACAAAGCTGTCTGCAAGAGCTCTTTTTCATTCTTAATCAGCAAAGTCCTGCCACGTCTGACAAGCGTCAGAGAGACTTGACAGCATTTTCACCGCAACTTCAATTCACCACATAGATTCAAAAGGTCTTTCTACCTTCCATTGCCCCCCCCCCCCCTTTTCTTACTCAGTATTGAGCGGCTCTGCTAATTCCAAGTCTTAGCTCGGGAAGGATGCAATAACAGCATCCAATTGCCGACCCTCTCCCGCGAATATCATGCAGCCCTGCGGAAAGAAGAAGCACGTAGGATGGGAAGTCATGTCATCAGCACAGTAGCCCAAGATTTAGCCCCAAAGTTGGGGGCTTCAGATGCCATTCTCGACGGAGATGCCGCTGCACGTCGTGCTCTATAGGCTTATCCCGCCCAAGTGAAGCACGGGTAAACAGCCGAGTCGTCATGGATGGTGCTGTGAAGCGTTATGTTCAGGGGAAGCTGGTCGTTTCTTGGGCGTTGAAGCTCACAGAGAGAATAGCCATCCCGCTGTTATTTGAGCCTAGGTCTGAAACTAGATTACAAGGTCTGAGTCTCAGATGGGCCACGTTCTGGTGCTCATTCTCCCCTAGATCTCAGGGTACAACAATTTGCCTACAGGAACTTTGAGAGATATATGACTGTCTTCTTCACAGGGCTAGGTGCTGTTACCCAGGCAAGGGTATACAAGTTAATCTCTCTTTCTGCAAAGAGGCGACAGGGCGCGTTGAAAAATCCTGAGGACGGTCAATGACTCTAGTCACGGCACATATAGATTCAGCCGGTGTGGATGAACGCCGTAAGACTGAATATGGAATCAGTTTCAAAGTTACTTTTTGGGTCTTGAAGCGGTTGGTAAAAACAGATGGCTGGCAGTACCAGACAGTGACCGCAAAGGAGTGATTAACACAGGCTTTGATGGACTTACAGAACGAAAGGACATGAAGTATTCTTCACTGGGATAATATGGTCAGGAAGAGCTATCCGTCAACTTTGGGATAGTACTACTCGAGTGACATCTGGTCTCCCAATATGTGGAAAGAAGCTTGAGAAAGCTAAGAAAACCACGGTATTTGATTTCTTGATTTCTGGGTAAACTAGCACGTGCCAAGTCACTTGATTACGTGTTGAACGTTTCCCTCCAGTGCGACTTAACTCAACTCTGGCGTTGAAACCATATCTTCGTCCCAGTCATCCATTCTGTTAAGCGAATCCCAAAGTCCCCAAACACCGATCGATAAATTTCATCGACTTTTGACACACCTTAGAGGTAAGATTCTGAAATAAGGCTCGTCTCATACTGAAAAGTTATCGCATCATCTGATAATCTGAACTAGTCGGCACGCTTTAGTTAGCTGTCAACAATGAATAGCTCTCCCTCCGACCGACCTCCAATGAGACGAACGAGAATAGTTTGCATCAGTGACACCCACAATTGCACAGTCAAACTGCCCAAGGGTGACGTTCTTATCCATGCAGGCGACTTGACAAATCAAGGTAGTCTTTCAGAGGTAATGGTTACCATGTTCATCCCAAGCTGACCTTATAAACATTTGTCAAATTTGTCACTCATTTCGCCAAACTGACACTCATGACAAACAGCTCACCAAAGCAATTCAATGGCTAGAAAAAGCCGACTTTGAGTCCAAGGTCGTCATTGCCGGTATGTCTCTTATCAGTCCTCACCCCCAGTTACCCCTAGCTAGTCAAAGAAACGGACACTCACCTTTGTTCACTCAACAGGAAACCACGACAAGGCCGTGGACCCGGCTCCATCTTCCGAGTCTTCCCAGCACCAAGCCCTCTCTCCAGAATCCTGCCACTTCCATAACCAATCCCTGCCCAATCCAAAAGAGTGTCTATCTGTTCTTGCGACTCACGGCCCATCAATAACCTATCTACGCCATGAGTCTGCTGAGATCAAGCTCACGCACCCAGCGGGGCCCAGGACAAAGTTCAAAGTATTTGGAAGCCCTGGGACTCCTGGACTTGGAGAGAAGTGGGCGTTTGAGTATGAGAGGGATGTGAACGATCCGAGTCGTGCGAGATATCCACGCCAAGAAAATGGAGCAGTCGCCACGGAGATCAAGTCTGGTAGTCAATCCAACCCTGAAAAGAAAACCGGCAGCTCTGGTTCACGATCACACTTCTCGCCCATTTTGAGTTCCATCTCCGCCAAAGAAATCTGGTCCTCCATCCCTCCAGATACTGACATCCTCGTGACGCATACGCCTCCCTACGGACACTGCGACCTTGGTGTCGTCCGCGGGTCAGACGGGTCAGACGACGGCCCTTCGCCCGCAAAAACTGGAGTGACTGGAGGGGAAGAAGCAGAGACAAAAACAGAGAGAGACCGACATCTAGGCTGCCACTCCCTCCTCCAACGCTTATCAGTTGTTCGACCAAGACTACACGTCTGTGGGCATGTACATCGCGCAAGGGGGGCTGAAAGGGTTCGGTGGTCACCAGTCTCGTCTCCTTCCGCTTCTGTTTCAAAGGGAATGGAAGATGATGGTGAAATAGGATGGATAGAGTCCACAACAGAGAAATGGACGGATCCAAGCCCCGATCCAAAGTCAGGGAAGATCAGTTTGGTTGACCTGACGGGTCGTGGTCGTGAGGAAGGAAGCGGGAAATTAGACTGGGTTGACGTCGACACCGTGATTGGTAAGTCAACAGGAGGAAGAAAAGGACGAAAGGAGACGTGTGTGGTTAACTGCGCGATTTTGGCAAGCAATTATCCTCATGTGGGAGGAAAGAGGTTTCACAAGCCGGTGGTTGTGGATTTGGAGTTACTGGTTTGTGAGGAGAGTCAAGATTGTTAGGAAATACTGGATCAGCAAGAGGATTGGAAGAGTTGCGGTCAGAAAGACGAGGAAATGAGCCTGCTGAAAGAAAATTACTTGATCACAGAGACTGAAGTGATGGAACAAGAGAATCCCAAAGGAAGGTACGAGATTTTGACTATCTCGAGCCGGGAAGGTACGACTACGAACGTTTCCGAAGATTTGGATCTCGTAACCAGAAGATGGGAAGCATAGCGGAGAGGAAGGTGTAACTCGGCATCACTACCTGGAAACTCGCTCTTTCCTAGATAATCATGTCATTATGAGAGGGGTCCAGTCCTTGGGCAGAGACGAATGTTCAGACGACAGAGCTGAAGGTAGACACTCAATTTCATATCTCAACTGGAGGGATATACGACAACAATATTCCGAAAGGTAAAGATACCTAAGCTTGAAGCAGAGAAAACTGAGATCAATGACTGTCAGATCCTATAAAGCTCACAGTCATTGCCGGTGTCCAAATATCTTGTTGACAGCTACTACAACGGAAGAAAGGCATTGGGGCTAATGCAAGGTTTCGACAGAACATCGTAACTCAACCAGCATTATTCCCATAACGGGAAGAAACCCAGGTAATTGTGACTACATGATACCTACGTAGGCTTTCATCATCATCTATCAATGAAGACGGTCCTACTACCTTTTTACTCCTTTCGAGCTCACCATAGTCGTTATGTCGTCCAGGACCACGAACACAAAGTGAAGAGATTTCAAGCATGTACTGGATGACTTTTCTGTTTCCCTTCTCTTTCTGACTTGGGTCAGGTATTCTGAAGGTTTCTTACCAATTCTGCTCGAGCGAAGCTCGTATACGGGACGACGTTTCCTATGCGAGGAGTCTCTTTCGTACCTCTCAGCTTTGTCTAAATGACCAGCTTCATAAAACCTCCCTTCTTGTGGCTTGCTCCATCGACATATTACTAGATTGACAACCCAAAAGCGGCATTCAACTACCCTCTGCAGGATCTCTCTGACAGGACCTGGTTCAATGACCCGAACATCCGGCTCTGATTATTTTTCCTCGTATTTGATTCCGTACCGTGGGCCAACAAGTCTAAAAGGTAGTTCAATAGGGCCCCAATCTATATTCCCCTATCGTATCTGTCCAGTTTCTTTCGGGTCTGAACACAGAAGAAACTCCGAAAGTAACATACCCTTCCATTTTCTAACCCAAACTATCGACTCCCTACGTCTTCTCCTCTTCTCTTAGACGTGACCGCCTTCCCATATGAACCCACTTCGTCAATCCTTTTCACATGCTCAACTGGTTACATCCATCTGTTTCTTCCGCTCTTCCGCTTTTCCGTTCCGTCCCTAAGTCCCGACAAGAAGGATGTCACCGCCTACCCTAAACTCAACCCCTGGATCTCCCCATCTAGCCCTTAGTAAGCTAGTTTTGCGTATACTATGCATAAGCCTCCACTGGTTACTCAATTGACTTCATTGCAGCCATCCCCATCCCCGCCCCCATCGACGGAACCATCCCACCTCCCTACCCGCCACCACCCGCAACCATGTCCCCAAAAGGCGACTCAAAACCCATTCAGTTGGTTAAGCCCTCAAGATCTCCCGTAGGCAGTCCCATCCAGTATCCACCCAGGGTCCCATCGGGGAATTGACCTATCAAAGCTCAGGTTCCAAGTCTTAACCTAACCCAATCGAACTGAATGTGGATAAGCATCAACGGTTCTGATCACTGTCGTCGTGCCACGATTGCTTTTTTTTTGCCAAGTACCGTTTTAGCTATCGCGTCAGCCCGGACTAACACGCTGAGTTCCTGACTACGCCAACAGCGAAGCTGAACTTGTTTAGTCTAGGAAGATCACGGATCGGGCAAGCCGAAAACCACACCGTCGGCTTCTCGACTTCGGTGTAGAAGCGAGGGAGAAGGCCTCCGCGTCTTCTGGAGCCTATCATAGGCTTTTGGGCGGGAGCTTAGTTCGGGTGTTTAAATGCCGGTCACGAGGTGCAGGTACCTGACGAGTATTAGCTTTGTAAGTTTGACAGTCTGACTGACAAATCGGCCGTCGGTCGGTCGGTCGGTCAATGTTGGGGTGGATGTGAGTACCATCTTCGGACCTGTTTGCATAGATATCCTAGATCGGTATCCTTACTCGTTCCTATCACGTAGCCTTCGTTATCATCTCCTCGGTCACAGTTTCCAACCATGGATAATCGAGAGGATAGGATAGAATACCTACGTACCCAGACCGCTTTCTTTGCCTCACTTCACCTTACCTACTTTCCTTGACCGTTCCACCCACATGGCACCCGTTTTGAGCTGCTCATGTCGTGACACGAACGGCGGCCCCCGTTTTTTCGGGCTATGCCATCATAGCACGCACCTTGGCTTTGACAGTCCGACAGGTTGCCAGCTGATCCCTTTGGCCTAGCTTTGTGGGTTTGATGGGGGCCCGCCGTAGAAGAGTCAACACGTGTCAGGCCTCACAGGTCGGGTTGGACCTATCACCGCCCGCTATGCATTTCTCTTATTCTCCCTCCAGTTCGAGGATGTCAAGCTTTGCGCTAAATGGCCGAACATTTCGGGTAGTCGATCCGGGGTCGAAGGCGGAGACCACACCAGACGGCTTGGGATGCGAGACGGATTGAGTCCCGAACGGTCTGCCTCGGAAAGCCACTGATGGACAACGCCGGAAACTGAACCCGGGTCGAACCTAAGAACCATATGGCTGGTAGCTTGAGCACTCCCAACCTCTGTCATTGGCACGCGACAGCAACTTCGTTGATCCGTTGTCAGTGTCTGTTGATCGTCGAAATAGGATCATCGCGGGCTCGTAGCAAACAAAGCCGGCCGTTTCCACCTGCCTACACTAACGTGTAGGCGACATTTCCGTAACGCTGATGAAGTCATACCAGGAGGTTGCCATGTGGGATTTGCGGGCGAACCGGCACTTTGGGAGGTCTTGGGTCTCCATATTATGGTACAATATGGCGGTTTGACACACGCGGTGAGTTGGGTATGTCTCCATTGCCATGCGGATTTCGTCGGCAAATTTGTTGATGTAATTGGCTTTTGGCTTACTGATCTGCAAGATGGGCCTGAGCTAGGTTTCAGAATATGACAGCTCATCCCGTTTGCTAGGAAGCTTTCAACAATCGTTCTCAGGGTCCAGATTCGCATGGGCAGTCTGAAAAACGATGCTACCATCCAGCTGGAAAGATAGTTTCGGTTGTCGGTCGGATAAATCTCCAAGTTGGGGTCAAATCCACCACCCAAAGTCTGTCATGCAAGAGGCGATTTATGCGGGGTGTTCTTCAATCACACGCCTAGATGCGAGCTGTGTATACGAACGATGTGAGTGAGAATTGTGCGTGTGTATCTCCGAATTCGCCATGTACGGAGACCCTCGAGGTTTTGATTTGAACCCCTTGACGGAACAAATGGCGGCCCGCTCCGATTGCACCACGGAATGCTGTCCGCTATGTCGATCCCCTAGCCTTCTTCTGGCTGATATTCCCCGATCAGCTGGGTCTCTTCAACGCCCGAAGGGGTTGGAGGCTCAGGCATAATGGTCACTGACCACGTTATGATTTGCTGAAGCCTTTCCTCCAAATGTGTTGTGGCGATTGTGCAGTTTGCCTTATGACCCCAATCATGTTTGTAAGAGTGCTCTCTGAAGTAGAAGCGCACAGCATTATAGACAGGAAAGCAAAGGAACAAGATGTTGATCAGGGTGCATGTGACGAATGCCAGTCAACCAGCCCAGTTCGAAGATGGCCAAAAGATAGAAAAAAAAAAAAAAAAAAAGAAAGGGTAAAGGGACAAGGAGATGCCTGCCAAGGAGGTTTGGGGTATGCGCAACACGTAGTTCCATCAGCCGGGAGAAAATCGGAGCACGAGTTCATCGGGAAGCGGCTCTAGAAGCCCTCGTGTCCAATCAGCCTGACGCTTCTGCCCCCCGCTACTTGACATACAATCTACCCCTGGTATGTTTGTTAGCTTGATACAAGCAGGGGTGGAATACAAGGATGCAAAGCCAATAGAATCTGTTTATTTCAAGCCAATTTGAGGTAAAACTAACACACTGTGAATACTATTATATATTATTAGACATCGAAAACAGGGATTTTAACGTATGAAAACAGGGATTTAAAATATTAGAAATTAATATCCAATATAACCGCTATTTATAATAATAATAGACTGTAACCGCTTGGGCATCGAATGTACTAGCTTTTTTATATAAGATTTAGGGTAAACAACCTATACCTTTTCGATAGCCTCCTTAAAGGTATTCCTAATCGGTCTAATTGGGTAAGTACGTTCAATCTAGCGTTTTATCTATAACTAGATATATTCAATTGGGTTTAAATTAAGCGAATAAACTAGCTATTTAACCTATTTATCTATTGGAAATAGCTCATTTAATACTACTTTTATTATACGAGAGGTATGAGCGGGGGTATTATTTTATTGAACTAATTAGTTATAATCTACGAACTAGAAAATATAAAGTAATAGTAAAATATATTATTAATAAGAAGTGGAATTAATTTTACCCTATTTTTTATTTTAGACTAAGTAAAGCCCCTTAACGCCGCCTACAAAATAGTCCTAAAATATTTAGCCGTTAGCTTTCTAACGAATTTGAACTATTTTATTAGGATCTTTTCTATTAAATATAATAATATATTTACGGCTAGAACTAAAGTTATTAATTTAAATTTTATTAAACTATATTTAATTCTCCTATTAGAACGATATTATATTTACTTAATTTAAAGCAAATTATAGGCGAATTTAACGGTTTTTAAGGGTTAATAATTATTTAACCGGTTAGAGGATCCGCCGTACGCCTACTAGTTATATAGCGCTTTAAATTACACGGGTACTATATAACTCTAAAATTGGGAGAGCTTTACAGACTTTAAACTATAGTAAAAAACGCTTTAATTTGTATAGAGTCTATAAGAATGCCTTTACCTACTCGCGAATCTCTAACAGTACGACGGACGGACGGCTATAGAGAGGGAACCTAGGTTTAATATTTATAATAATAGTATATAATACTTACCTTTCTATAAAGGTTAATATACGGGCGATTTATATAATTGATAAATTTATATAGAAGTATAGTATTTTAATTATAATCCGCTCTTCGTATATAATAAACATTAATTTCCGGACTGGATTAATATAGTACCGGGAGAAGGAAAGGTTTATAATATTAGCGAAAGGAGTACAAACTAGGAGATAGTCGGGTTAAAGTAGGGTGGGACCTTCGAAATTAAGGGTGGATAAAAACGATTTAGTTTAATTATAAAAAGGTTTAATAATTATACTAGGAACGTTCGAAGTAATTAGAAAGTTAATTTAATAAATTGGGGTAATTGGATTATTATTAATATAAAATTTATATAATAAAAATAATAAATTTATTAGGGATAATTAGGAAGTAGGGTTGAAGGTTTAGATAATAAGGGTAAATTGGAAGTATATTCTCTTTATTAAATTCGGTTATTAAATTAATAATATTACAAAATAGAATAGTAGCCTCGGTTATTATTAAAGTACGGCAATTACATTAATCTTAAAAGTAAAGCGAATTATTAAAGCGATTTAGAAAGATCTCCCGGGTTGCCTCTTAGTGAAATTATATAACGAAGGGACTAATAAGGTTATTACTATTATTATTATTATTTTTATTATTAAAAGGGATAGGGGTTAAAGTATTAAAATTAATATCTTCGTTAAAATAAGGGTTTTATTTATTAAAAGAGTAAAATTATACCCTTTATTATATTCGGTTAGGTACGAACTAAAGAAGCTCACGAATTATTATAAATTTATCAAAGCGATTTAATTAATTAAATAAAGTAATAAAATAATTATAAAATAATAAACAATAGGTAAACGGGTATAGTATATATAAATAAAAGAGAATTTCATTATTAAAAAGGAAGATTAGCCTTTTTAATTATAAAATCGAACAATTAATTCTATAATTAATTTGGCTACTCTGGCTGATTTAATCGATTCCCCCTTTTAATCGTTTGAATAAGGCTATTTAGAAATTATTTTTTATTAGAAATATTTAAATAACTATTATTTTAGTACAGTTGGGTACGGTTAGCGGGCTTCTAGGTACGGGTAAGTGCTGTAATGCCCTGTAATATAGCCTAAAAGGGAGTCCTACACTCCCGTGGGCATAGTAAGGTGTGTAGTGGCGTTTTTTACCCTAGTCGCATTATTTGGCCTCGAGTATGATTAAGCAGATATACAAACTACTCTAGCCAATTGAGCCAATTAGAAAGCTTGCATTAAACTGTACGGACCACTTAAACCCCTGTTCATGGGTGGGTCCAAAGAACTACGCTAACAAACAAACCAGTCTTATATTGTATTTGGCTTCGAGGGTCCTCACTCGAGGAGTTCGAGTACATAGTGTACGGGGGAAGTGTGATGCGCATCTGTGACGGCATGCAGGTTGCACGGCTGCGACCGGCCGACATACGAACGGACCACCTATCATAGGGTTCGCAGCAGATAAAACAAACCTCCTGGTCTCTCCTTGTACGCTTCCATGATCTGGCAATTGATGATAAGCAAGACAATCCAGGATGGAACGGCTTCGACGAGTCTCATCATAAAGTCGATGTCGAGCTTGTGCTTGTTCTGCTCAGGATCAGAGATTCTTTCGAGGTCTCTCCAAGGGTATCCGTCCGATCGTGGGAACACAGAGTGCTAAGAGCAAACGTTGACACAACAGTCTTCCCAATTTGTCAAGAGCTCACGATATGAGGTATGCAGTTAGAACACCAGAAGCAGCATATCGTAAGCTCACCGCCACCACGGGGATGGGGGGTTACAATATCCTTTCGGCGGTCTGGGATTTGCATCTCATGTGCGGCTGCCCCGGCTTACACTCCCCTCCAGCTGCATTGCCAATGGTGCCCCAACGTACAGACATATAGTATCACCCACGGAAAAGGGATTCTGCGTGTGTACTGTGCGGGTGGTGTGACGCAACCTGGCCGGCATCGCATGGGGAAACCAAGTGATGGGCATGAAAACGAACGACTGCTGTAAGGATCTCATCCGACGGCATGGCCCTGACCGCAAAACATGAACATGACGAAGGGGGACCGAGGCCAAGAGCTAATATCTTGGTGCTTTCCTGTTTGGCGGGGTAAAGTCGACAGTTGCTCGGAAGGAGGAAACGAGGGGTGGAGGGGCTTGATGTAACTCGAGTAGTACTCAGTGAGCGCGGCGCGGCTTGTGGCCGTTACCGTCTAAAACAATGTTGCCTGACAGATAGCCGGACTGCTCCTTCACGTAGGTGATCATCTTCGGTATTCGACGTCTAGGTCCACTTCAACCACGAGGCCATTTCCTCAGAGGAGAGAGACAAGGAGTTGGGTGATGTGTATCTTGTTCGCTGAGAACGCTGCAAAAGCCAGGTAAGAGACGCTATTTGCATGATGTGAGGCACGGGTATTGGCAGTAGACGAGACTCTGTAGCCAGTCGATGAACTTTGTTGAACCAACCCTCATTGGTTGTCAAATGGGGGAAGATGCAGTACTCCGACCGTCCCTGAAATCATGGCTTCTTCGAAAAGGCATTGGATGGAGTGACAAGGCTAACAGCAGACTGTCACAATGGACCTGTTGTGGTATGTATGAGGCGGGCTGTACCTGCTTCTGGATGTGTATCGTATCGTAGGTGGGTATCGAGGGTAATGTTGGAATAGGAAAGGGAACCATGTGTCTCAATTGGATAAAAGACTGACCAGGTGTGGAAGATGACTGGTGTCACTTGAATGGTGCTGTCGCATGCCTGTCGACCATTGGCGGATGGAAATATGACAAAAGTTGACGTTGGGAGAAATCGCTCTTGTGATGGCCCAATCAGCCAGTCAGAGTCTGCGACTGTCCTCCATGGAGAGGGCTGACGGGCATCTGAGAGGTCAAGCCAGCGTCTTGACCCAGCGACGACAGGACGAAGGGAACTGTTCAGTTGCATGGGCACTCGGAGCGTCACAGCTCAAGAAAGAGCAGCATCGATCGAGGCCTCCTCCGGGATCCGGGGCTGTCGAGGGACTGTGCAGTTTCAAGCATACCTACTTAGGTAGAGGTAGGTACCCACGTACCCTCATGGCGGGATATCTCCAGTCTGTAGGCCAGACGGGTACCGTACTTGCCCCTACGAGTGCTGCCGGCAAAATGTTGGACGTTGGGCGTTTAAAGCGGCTACTTGTTGCCAAGTCGAGGAAAGAGCGCAGCGGAGACTGTGGTTGGATGGCGAATTGAAGACGGTAACTTGACTCGGAAAGTGTTGACCTCATTGCACTGAAATATCTTGAAGCAGGCGCGCTTTTTCCCTGTTTAAGTACCTCTAGAGCATCATCAGGAGCTTAGTCTCCTGCCGTTTGTGATGCTAAGCCCGAGGGGAAAGTGACATGGATACCTCCTACAGTCATCAATTCGTCCAAGCTTGCGATTTGACCTTTGACGGTTGATGCAATCTCAGCTCTCGAAAGAACCTATTGGTGACTGCCACACCATCCAGCGGTACGAGGATTGTCACGGTGATTGACACGAGGGAACATACGCCTGCCCTGATGAGCAGACCTGATGAGCAAGATGAGACTGCTAATCCGGTAGCTTGCGCAGGAACAAACGCTTCTGCTGAGCTGTCAGAAGGTGTCTTGGGCCAAGATCAACTTCTTCAAGTCTGACTGGGGCGAGTCGGTGCTCTCGGCGTCCGGCGGCGGCGGCGTCAAGTCCGTCCATTCAACACCATGACCAGCCCACACCGAGGCACCGGGCGATTTGCCGATGGAATTGTGGTGTTTGGAACTTGGCACTCCCGTCTCAGCAATGGACTATTGAGCGAGTGGCACTCCGGGGTGCAAGCCCGTGGACGACCGACGCCGATCAGGGAGCGAGGCCGCCTTTCCGAGCGTCGAGACGTGGCTGGTGCTGTTTGACATGGCATTTTGACGGTCCATATTCCGGATATTATAGTGTAGTCTCACATCCACCCAGGAGTAGGAGGCAACCTCATCTGGGCTGTCTTGACTGTCGCCTCAACAGCGATGCTATTCCTGACATGACTGCCACACCTGCGCTGCTGATGAAGGTAGCACTATGCATCATTAGCGGCCGGCGGCCGGAAGAGAAGCTGAGAAAGAAGCCGACAGAAGTCGAGGGACGAACTGCGAGGGGACCTTCTCATTTGATGGCATAAGCCGGGGCCTGGCAAGGGAACCACAACAGGAAAAGCTCGGCATACAGCCAGCGTGCGTCCAGCCAGTAAGAGGCCGTCTCGATATGCTGGTCCACCGCATTTTCAGCACCTCCGCAGTCCGTATAGCCCTCTGGCTCCTCCAAGACCTCACGTCTGCACATGCATGCCTTCTTCCCCTCACAGTGTTAGGTTGGGGAGCATCGCGCGTCTGCCCAGTAGGAATTACAATCTACCCCTAGTATGTTTGTTAGCTTGATACAAGTAGGGGTGGAATACAAGGATGCAAAGCCAATAGAATCTGTTTATTTCAAGCCAATTTAAAGTAAAATTAATATACTATGAACACTATTATATATTATTAAACATCGAAAACAGGGATTTTAACGTGTAAAAACAGGGATTTAAGATATTAAAAATTAGTATCTAATATAACCGCCATTTGTAGTAATAACAAACCGCAACCGCTTGGGTATCGAGTGTACTAACTTTTTTATATAAGATTTAGAGCAAACAACCTATACTTTTTTGATAGCCTCTTTAAAGGTATTCCTAATTGGTCTAATTAAGTAAGTATATTTAATCTAATATTTTATTTATAGTTAAATATATTCAATTGGGTTTAAATTAAGCGAATAAATTAGTTATTTAACCTACTTATTTATTAGAAATAGTTTATTTAATACTATTTTTATTACGTAAGAAGTATAAACGGGGGTATTATTTTATTAAACTAGCCGGTTATAGTCTATAAATTAAAAGGTATAAAATAATAATAAAATATATTATTAATAAAAAGTAGAATTAATTTTACCCTATTTCTTATCCTAAATTAAGTAAGGCCCTTTAACACCGCTTATAAAATAGCCTTAAAATATTTAACCGTTAATTTTCTAGCGAATTTAAACTATTTTGTTAGGATCTTCTCCGTTAAATATAATAATATATTTATAATTAAAATTAAGGTTATTAATTTAAATTTCGTTAAATTATATTTAATTCTCCTATTAGAGTAATATTGTATTTACCTAGCTTAAGGCAAATTATAAACGAATTTAGTAATTTTTAGGGGTTAATAATTATTTAACTAATTAGAGGATCTGCTATACGCCTACCAATTATATAGTACCTTAAATTGCGCAAGCGCTATATAGCTCTAAGACCGGGAGAGCTTTGCGGACTTTAAATTATAATAAAAAACGCTTTAACTTATATAGAATCTATAAAAATACTTTTACCTACTTACGAATCTCTAGTAGTACAACGGGCGGGCGGCTATAGAAAGGGAACCCAAATTTAATATTTATAATAATAATATACAATATTTACCTCTCTATAAAGGTTAATATATAGGTAATTTATATAATTAATAAATCTACGTAGAAATATAGTATTTTAATTATAATCCGCTCTTCGTATATAGTAGGCGCTAATTTCCAGGCCGGACTAATATAGTACTAAGAGAAGGAGAAATTTGTAATATCGGCGAGAGGAGCGTAAGCTAGGAGACGGTTGGGTTAAGGTAGGGTGGGACCCTCGAAATTAAGGGTAAATAAAGATAATTTGGTTTAATTGCGAAAAGGTTTAGTAATTATACTGGGAATATTCAAAGTAATTAGAAGGCTAGTCCAATAAACTGGAATAGCTAAATTATTATTAATATAGAATTTATATAATAAAAATAATAGATTTATTAGGGATAACCGGGAAGCGGAATTAAAAGTTTAGATAATAAGGGTAAATTGGAGGCGCATTTTCCTTATTAAATTCGGTTATTAAATTAATAATATTACGGGGTAGAATAGCGGCCTCGGTTACCATTAGAGTATAACAATTACATTAATTTTAGAAGTAAAGCGAATTATTAAAGCAATTTAAAAAAATCTCCCGGACTACCTTTCAGTAAGGTTATATAACGAAGGGACCGGTAAGGTTATTACTATTACTATTATTATCCTTATTATTAAAAGGGATAGGGGTTAAAGTATTAAAATTAATATTTTTACTAAAATAAAGGTCTTATTTATTAAAAGAGTAAGGCTATACCCTTTATTATATTCGGTTAGGTACGAACTAAGGAAATTCATAGACTATTGTAAATTTATCGAAGCGATTTAATTAGTTAAATAAAGTAATAAGATAATTATAAAATAGTAAATAATGGGCAAGCGGGTATAGTATATATAAGTAAGAGAGAATTTCATTATTAAAAAGGAAGATTAGCCTCTTTAACTATAAAATTAAGCGATTAATTCTATAATTAATTTGGTTATTTTAATTAATTTAATCGATTCCCCCTTTTAATCGTTTGAATAAGGCTATTTAGAAATTGCTTTTTATTAGAAGCGTTTAAATAGCTATTATTTTAGTACGGTTGGGTACGGTTAGCAGGTTTCTAAATACGGGTAAATACTATAATACCTTATAATATAGTCTAAAAGGGAGTCTTATACTTCCGTAGGTATAGTAAGGTGCGTAGTGGTGTTTTTTACCCTGGTCGCATTATTTAACCTCGAATATAATTAAGTAGATATACAAACCACTCTAGCCAATTGAGCCAATCAGAAAGCTTGCATCAAACCGCACGGACCACTTAAACCCCTGTTCATGGGTGGGTCCAAAGAACCACGCTAACAAACAAACCAGTCTTATATTGTAGATACTTGGAGTTGTATCTGTGCTTCTGGTGCAGAAGCGCGACATTGAACGACCCTACTGTGAGCCTGTTCACGCCTGTCGAATCCCCGCAACTGACGCTATCGACAGCTTCACACACATGTCTGTGAAGTGCGTGTGTAGTCTAGGTATGAAAGTGAAGAAGAGCAAAGTAGACACAGGTACAGAATTATAGCAGAGGTACCTTTTTCTCGATCTGTCTTTATTTGGGCTGTCTCGGTATCTCAGGTCCGGTTCCATGCTCCCATCTCCCACTGGACTCGATAGTATCGCAATTGGAGCCCATCAAGATCCAGAGCAACGGGAGTGTGCGCGTTACAAGTTCGTCCCAAGAAGTCAGGACGAACACAAGGCGCACTACTAGACACCTCGATTTGCCAGTCGCGATATCTTGGCTGTTTACAGGTACTTTACATTCCAGTGCGGACTGGAAGGGCAGTTACGGGAAAACAATTAATCAAGGAGCGCACCTGCCCGTCAACTTGAACCATAGCACCACCAGTCCACGCACTCGACCCTGGCACGACATCAAAGCGAGTGCAGGTGACCTTGGCCTGGCCATCCTCGCCCTTTTCACCTTCCGCGCATACCGTACCTACCTTGCTCAGTCCACCTCCTCCATCTTCTTCAGACTTGTAGTGTTTCCGACATTCGCTTCTCCGTTTTCTACTTCCAGTTCAGGTTGTGTTGCCGATCTATTGTCCGTTGCTGCTGGGATACCTACAATACCGACCAAGGGAATACCTACCTACCTAGGTATTCATCCAGTCAGGGGGAGGTACCTAGCCTTGGTCTCTTTCCACCCGACCCACGTCACGCCTGTTTCCTGAGAACCTCAAGGTTATTGTCACTTCTCTTCGGTTGTGCTTCGTTGCTTTGGGATTACCTACCCTGCTCTCTTCACCTTCTGATCATATACTCCATACACCCCGCACACCGAGGGACCCTTATACCTGGTCTTTAAAACGTTGATCACCGCCTTTGGTTGCACGACAAATCCAGTACCGGAAACAACAACACCACGAGCCCCACTCCGGTCGGCCAGTCTCCAGATCCCCGAGATCCCTTCCCCCCTAACGACCCTCCCCTGTGGTTCCCTTGGCCCTGCACGAGCACAGCTAGGCGCAACACTACAACCACTAGACAACGGCCCACCCTATAACCAGTCAGATCACGACGACCAGCACCTATACCTACCGCTACCGCCCCCAGAAGCCGCCCTCCAACTTTCTTTCTACGCTTTTTTCCCCTTTCGCCTCAATTCCTATCTTTCCCTTCTCTGCGTCCACAGCCGCACCCGTTTTGCCCCTCCAACCGCGCGTCAGCCTCGCAATCCCTACCGCCCCATAGTTCCACGCCTCCCAGCCCCAGGCACATATACAACTCTCCCTCGGGTTCCTACAACAGTTCCACGTCTTTCAATGCTTTAGTTGCCCGGTCTCGACGGACGCCTGGTGCCTTCTTGTCAAGTTACATATACTCTACTTTTCCGGCTCGCTGTTCGACAAGCTCTTACTTCAAACATCAAACTCGAGTCAACGTCCCTTATCAATTCTCATCAACACCATCATCACCATGTCTTCTCTTCCTCCCGACCCGTGGCAGGTCCTCGGCATCGCAAAGACGGCAGACAAGACTGAGATTCGGACAGCCTACCGAAAATTGGTCCTCAAGTGCCATCCAGACAAGGTCCAAGATCCGACTCTAAAGGCTGAGAAACAAGACGAGTTCCAAAAAGTCCAGCAAGCATATGAGCTTCTCAACAACGACGAAGAGCGGGCAAAGTATGAGCATCAGGTTCGAATGAGTGAACTCAACCAACAAAAGGCACGGGCTGCCTCAAAGAGCGCGGCTTATTCCCCAGCTGCTCGATCATCTCCCAGGCACAAGGAGTTCGCTTTCAGCAGTACGCCAGAGCGTGCCTCGCACAGGACAACGACATCAACCAGGGAGAAAATGTACTTTCAGCCCTCGCGCTCTCACGAGGAAGTTCCTACTGCTCGCTTCGCCGACATGAACTTCAACGAAGAGAGACGTGCTCGTCGGGCAACTAGCTATGAGAAGCAACCAAGACCCGAGGACGAAAGGCCCTCAAGGCGCGAAGAGGAAAAGGCACCCAGACGTGAAGATGAAAGGCCCGCGAGGCGCGAGGAGGAGAAGCCAGTGAGACGAGAAGAAGAGAAGTCGAAGGACAAGCGCAAGGATGAAGAGGAGAAGAAGGCAAGACGCCAGAGGGACTTGGCCAGGGAGTTGGAAGAAATGGCTGATCCCGGCCGCAAGGCGGAGAAGAAGAAGACGGACAGGGAACGGGAGAGACCTGAGAAGGAACGAAAATCGGAGGATAAATCCCGGCGGCACAAGGGTCCCTCAATTGAAGTCGTGGAGGATCCCGAGGAGCCTCCCAAGTCAGACAAGAAATCTGCAAAGTCTTCGAGTAAGAAATATACCGAGACTAAGGAGCGCGAACGAGATGGTTCCCGCTCCCGCGAATATGATTATGGGCGAGAAAAGTCGGCCTCTCGTCCCGCTGCCGGTTTTGTGGCCGACGACCCGCTGGAAAAGGCAAAGCTATACATCCAGAACAGGGGTACCAAAGTTCGAGACGGGGAACGAATTCCGAAGCTTGGGAGATCCCAAACCGAATTCTGGAGTTATAAGCCAGAAGTGCCCCGTCCGTCCCCCGCCGACTACGACGAAGAAGAAGTCCCGCGATCATCTGCTCGACCCCGTCGATGCTCCCATGAGACCCCGGCAAGGTCTAAGGAGGGCCCGAACATCATCCCTGTTTCGCCTCGCCTTGCTCCGACGAATTCTCGCCCTAATCCGATCAACGTCAAGGCTTCGAAGACTCATGCTGTCCCTTCGCCTCTGAATTCTCCTTCTCGCATGCAACGATCAGCAACAACCAATGATATACATTCCGGACATCAGTTTCATCCACCGCCCATGACACGGCACACTACTTGGGCTCCTAGCTCCGACCGACATTTCGATAAAGTCTACCATAACGACTCAGATGATGATTACGGACGCCATCATCGTTCACGTTATGCGGATTCCCCTTCTGATGGTGTTCGGTACAAAGCGGATGGGGGCAGAAGCTCGAGGCGCGACGAACCAACATATCCCCAGGCTTACTCGCGAGGAACTTCCGCCACACGAGTTCCTCCTGAAATGTACGGATCTGCACGCATGTACTCGACCTCGGGTATGAAGGTGAAAGAAGGCAAGACATTCACTACGACTGACGTGAAATACGCCGATATACCCTATCCTCATCGAGCCTATCCTTCAGTGCCTTCATACTAGAATTTGACTTGAGGCATTCTGAACCCGACGACTTTATTTTTCTGTTTCTCTGGACTTCCAGTTCTCTTCTTTCGGCAGGTGTTTTCAACGGCTTGCATTGATCGGGTCATCGGGGTACGGTGTTTGGTTTGGAGATCAATTGGTTAATTTTCTGCTTTTATACTACTCATATATGGGAAACGAAACCCGGTAAAGAGACAGTAACGACACGTCTATGTTTCGCACATCGCATGGTATGGGATTTATTGGGATACGATCTGGGCACGAGATAGAGGACTCAAAGCCATGGCAAGGAGAGGAAACGGGATGCGTGGGAACGCTCTGGGACTATGGTCAAGGACAGCATCGGGAAATGTAGCGCATGATGATGAAGCAATAGGAATTTTTATCTTGGGGTTCACTCGATTTTTGATTTTCTTTTGGTCTGAATTTTGGTTGTATCTAAGGCACGGGAATGACGACGTAACGTACCTCTTACAAACATACCAACGTTTTGGATACCCTAGACTTATACCATCAAGGAACCCTTTCACAACCGCAATGTGGATCGGCATTCCAAACAATGAAATATCGCATACTCAACTGCATAAGAATACGAAATAACAAGCGATGGACTGATATACACGACATAGGGCAACGCCATGAAAAGAATACCAATGGCTTTGATCATGAGAAGAAAATGGTTCTCAAGGCTTGGAACTTCTCACGATGATTTCTCTTTTCACTTCTTGTTTACCCATCGTTCACAGGCGTATCTTGTATCTCTTCGTTATCTCTTCTTGTCTATTATCGCTTACCTTGTGGGATAGCTGACCTCCTTCTTCTTCGCAGGGCACACGAAGACTCTCCACACGTGGAGACATTCCATATCATTGCACTCGCCGACGCCATGAGAACGAAACTTCAGTTGTTCTCATGGAAACGGTACTTTGTTATGGTTTCGTTAGTACACCAATAGTCTCTACACATCAGCTGCAGATAATATCTCACGACTGCCCATTAACGACCTAATGGCCTACCTACCTAGATCCCGAAACTCTTGTAGTCAACAGAGAAGTCTAGAAGCCTTGAAATGGAATGGGCAGTCGCGAATCGGGTCACTAACCTAAGTCAGTGATGTCCAAAAGGAAATAATCTGAGGATATAGATAGGTTCGTTTCCAGTCGTGTTTCTTGTGCGCCAACCGTCCATTATGATTTCATCTCAACAGCTGAGGTAAGTAGTGAGCAGGTACTTAGACCGGTATCCAAATGTACCTAACTCGTTACGCACCGTTCCCTGGATACATAAGGCACTTATACTTGACCTCTCATACGGGTCGTAGGTGTGAAACACTACATGTATACACTAGATGTGTGTATGTATAACGGGTATCTGTACTGTACTCTATGAAGACAGAACATTTTGCTCCTCCTTGTAATGCAACAAACCAGGCAAAGACAAAAGATAGAACACATCTTTACTGACTGTCCCCCGAACCAGTTCGCTTACAATTAATTGAATACCAGGCCGAGTTCCCGTCCATCTCCTGCTCCTCCGTTCTTGCTTATCAGACGCCGACGCCTCTTGTATATAATATGATATATGGTATAGTATGGTATAGTATGGTACAACATGTGCTGTGATTGTGTCCGGGAAACTGACCGAGAGAAATGCAATGCAGGTCGAATTTATTTATACCAAGACGTAAAGCGAGCAAATCTATTCACTCCAACCGTTAGTAATCTCCTTAATCTTCCACAATGGAAAGGCAAGGAAAGGAGGGGAACAACTCACCAAACTCAAACCCAAGATCATACTACACCAAAAGCAAACATTATTCAACGTCTTCTTGCCTCTGACCAACTCGGTCTTCTGCAGCATCACAATGGGCAACTGGAGCATCTGGCAAATGAAACCATAGCCTCTCAACTTCTTAGTGATACAAGCCATAACGATCTCGTGGCCTACGGCCGAGATCAAAAAGGTGATGACGGTCGCGTTGGCCTTGCCGACATGCGGCCTGCTGGCGCTGTATACGTGTCTCCTCAGGAAATTGTATACGGGCACGTTCCATTCGCGGGAAAATTCCATCCAGTCCGTGCTGTTCCACCAGTCCGAGTAGAAGTGGCGATCGGCAAAGTGCGTGATCTCGGCGAAGGCGCCGAGGACATACTCGAAGATGACGAGGAAGACGAGCAAGAAGGTGAGCATGAAGGGGAACAGCAGCCAGGAGATGGTCTCCGCCAGAACGAGGAGGGCTTCGAGCGCCGTCAAAGGACCGGAATCTCCGGCCGCGGCGCGCAGCGTAGGATCGAGACGGATGGAGGCGTCGGTCAGCGCGGGCAGGATGAACTCCTCCGAGATGACGGTCAACAAAAAGATGCACCCAAAGACGGCCAGGACCTTGGACAGCAGGTTCTGCCAGTCGATGGCGGCGGTGCGCGGGTACTCGATTTCATAGCATAGCGTCGGACAGCAGAGGTAGTCGAGGTAGTTGGCCCAAGTCAGGTTGGCCGGGTACGTAATGTTGCCCATGGGCGAGGTGAGTTCGCGGGCGAGGTCCTCGCGGAGCTGGGCGATTTCGTCGTCCTCATTGGGGGTGCTGATCTCCTTGGTTTCCTCGCTGCTGGCTTCGGCGGCGGCCTCGACCGCGCGCTGCTTGGGGCTGGCGACGGTGCCCAAGGGGTTTTCGGGGGTCGGGTAGAGGTAGGCCGGGGCCTTGGAGGCGGTGGCCGGGTCGTCGAGCGCCCGCAGACGCTTCTCAGTCTCGGACAGGTGGCCCATGTAGAACGAGTACGAGTGCATTTTCATGAGCAGCACCATGGTGTGTAGCAGCAGAAAAACCTGGGCAGTCCACGTCCACTCCAGCCAAAAGGGAATCACAATCCAAACGGCTAGCCAGATGGCCTGGTAGATGCTCTGGATGGCCATGCCGCCCTTGGCCCAGGTCAGCACGCCGCCCGCGGGGGCAGCGCGGAAGACCTTGTGTAGTGGGAGGGACACGGCGGTGGTGGCTACCATGAGGAAGTCAGCAATGGCAAGATGCCAGAGCTTGACGGTGAAGAGCCCCCAGATCTGGACGCGCAGCGGATAGCCCGTGTCTTTGATGTTGCGTAGGCAGGTGGTGATGGCCATGATGGCCAAGCCGATCCAAAAGAGATTGAAGAAGCCATGGAAGTCGCGGTAGTCGCTGTTGGGATCGAAGTGGGATACTCGGCTTGCGAACTCTATCGTGGGGAAGATGCGGCGGCGTTGCTCGGCGCGGACTTGCTTGCGGGCAGTCGAGAGGGATTGGATGGACGGGGGGGCATCGGACGGAATCGGGGTCGAGCGGCCGCTGCTTACACCGGTGACACTGATGTCAGCAGATCAGTTAGCACTCTGGAGAGATGTCCGGTAGGTCTCTTCCACGCTTTGTCTTGTTGTGATGGTCGTACCTGGTAGCTCCGGTACCGTTTGCATGGTCGCTGTCGCCGTTTGCGTCGTGGGAGAGTTGGGAGACTTGAGTATGCAAGGGTTTCCGTGGTCGAGGCCGGAGAATGTTGTCGCCTTGGCCGGCGAAGGCGTCCGCTGATGTCGATGTGGATGTCATGCTCCTCCTTCCCCAACTGAGATTGTACGTCGTCGTATGTGTATGTATAATGCGGTGCCTTGCTTAGATGAAGCCGGCCGCGTTGCAGCAAGTGTCTGGTGCTTCTGGACGGACTGGTAAAGACCGATGATGATGATGCCAGGAACACGCGCACGGACAGTAACGAGTTCAGGGTCAGTTCGGTCAGACCCCTTGAATCATGCACCGGGAATGACGAAAGAATAAAGAGAGTTTTAAGAATGTTTCTGGTAATTTGCGAAACGTGGGAGCTTGCTTCTGCCAATGACAAGCTGTGGTGACATACCGCGGTCGTCTGAGGTTTATTTCCACTTCTTGTTTTTCCAGTCTGGTACCCAAGTCTCTCCCTTTTCAGTTTCCCTTCAGTTATCTAAAGTACCAACGACAACCAGATGAAGCTCTCGTCAGACTTCCACCTGTCAAGTCAAATGCCACGATGCAAGACATTGAAACTTTGGACAGTAATCGTCGTCCTATCCCTCTTATTTCCCCGGCATCTAGTCCAAATCTCGATACGAGGAAGTGTAAAGTGCAAGCTGTTCTCCGCTGGCCGGCAACAGTCAAAGTCGCAATACGTCACTTCCACGTGACTGTAGCAGGGATTGTGAGGGTTGAAGGAGGTGATGATAGCATGGATAACCATGTCGGAGCCAAAAATACAATAAAAAAATGAATTAAAAGAGTAAACTTCGATTCGGATAATCGGAAATCACTTGAGCTCTCCAAATCTTGCAAAGGCGAAATCGCAACATGGCGAGCATGGTCATCCCCCATATCGGGACGGACATGGAATAGATTGGAACAACACTCATCCAGGCAAACCCTCGATTGGGGTTGAAGAGTCGAAGACGGGAAGGGCCGTTGTTTGATACGTGTAGCCGTGGACGCATTGATCCCCGCGGATTACAGATGGAAACACACAGACAGTCGTCCTTTTGAATGAAGAGAAACGCCAGTGTCATCTCAAGTCCCCGGCCATGGACCGTGAATGTTCTTTTTTTTTTTTTTTTGTTCGGACAACGGAGAGCTCAGAAATCGGAGAGTTCATCATCGTGGGGAGAGATCGTGGGGACAGAGCCAAAGTCGCCATCACCGGCATCGACATTGACATCGACATCATTCGGAGAAAGAAAGGAAAAAGTGACGTTTAGCTGTACCACGTCTCGTACATTGACTCTCGGCTTCTTCCCTGTCCAGTTAATCAGTCACACATGGTGCGCCTGTCGGTCATTCTTGGGGGAAGGTCTTGTCCTGCTAGCAAGCCTGCCAACAGGACTCTCTTGGTGTCTCTTGGTTGATCCCGTGCGCATCGACACATGGACTAAAAGATTTCACTTTTTTGGAGGGGACTTTTTGGGGTCGAGGGGATGCATGTCCAAACCCAACCAAATATCGTAAAAGGCCGTCA